ACACACACCCAAGTCCACAATCACTTTGCTATGCATTTCTTTTTCTGGAATCTTGTCATGAAAATAATACCTAATCATATATTCCTTTTAAACAGTTCTCTTTATTTTTAAGAATCGCTTTCGACAGATTTATACTTTGTTCTCTGAATCATTAATGGTATAATCAAAATATAGTAATTAATTTAAGCATTGTTGTTATGTGTCATTTGACTGATCATGACTCATTCTGTTAACCGTTACCATTCAAGCTGTTGTTGTTAGGTGCTATCCAGTCAAGTATGACTCATAGCAACCTTATAAACAACACATCAGAACCTTGGGTCTATCCTGTGCCTCCTCACCCATCTCTGACACACTTGACTCCTAGTGACTCCTGTGTGACAAAATGGAACTGCACCTTTGGTTTTCCAAGCCTTTCATCTTTACCCAAGCAGACAGTCACACCTTTCCGCTGTGAATTGGCTGCTAGTTGGTGGGCTCGAACTACCAACCTTTACACTTGATCTTTTAATCATTTCCTCACTAGGACTTTAGCTCATTAGAACATTTTAGGGAAGTTAAAGCTCTCTCATTCATGCCTTTTGAGTTGGGACTGACTCATAGCTGACCCTCCAGCAGGTTTCTGGAAAGCTTTAAATCTCATTGGAGGAGATGGTCTATCTTTATTCTCTCAAATGCTTGTGGGTTCAAAATGTCTTTGGGTTGGCAATGCAGCTTCCTACGGACCATGCCGCCCAAGCTTCCTAACCTGCAAAATCTATAGTTGTTGTTGAGTCCCATTAAGTTAAAACCAACCCACAGCTGATCTTCCAGTGGGTTTTCAGAGGCAGTAAGTAAATTTACTCAGTTGATTGTCCATCTTTCTCCTGAAGAGCAACTGGTGGATTTGAACTACACACCTTTAGGCTGACAGCACAGCTCCTAACTACTTTACTAAGCTACCAGCATTCCTTTATAATTCAAAGCAAATTTTTAAAAATTAAGTCTAACTAGGATTTTTTCAAACTGTCTGTGCCACTGTATCTCTCTGGCTCTATTTGACTGTCCTTGGGAGGCTTCTCTCTGCTGTTTGGCTAACTGATTTCCCCTCATTTTAAAAGATGCATTTCGGTTCAAGCACCTCAGAAAGTATGTGTACAACTACGAGGTCGAGAATTCTGGCGGAGTCCCTGGAACTGCTGATATAAGAAGTGCCACCAAGATTAACTGTAAGGTATGAGAGGGCTATTGGAGTAATCTTGGCCCTGTGGCTTTCCCTAGCTCTGGTTGGCCAAGTGCCCATGATCTTCCAAAAGGCCGTAGGCTGACATATCCACCACTTGCCAAAACTGTTGTATAGGGATCAACCCTCCGATCATATATCAGTCATCGTGCTGAAAACTCATCCGCCATGGGGGGGGGAAAAGTTATCATTCAACTTCGTTTTACTATTAACTTCAAAGCTATCAGTGGACTGGCTACATAGGCTACAATAGCAACACTGCATGATGGTGGAACTGAGTGTCCTGTGAGAAGTCCAGTAGGCAGGCTCCAGGAGGCAGACTTCTCAGGACAGAACTAGGGCATGCCATTCTTACCATCCAAGTCAAGCTGCTGCTGCAGACATGCTAAAAAAAAAAATTAGCTTAAAATAAAAGTCATCTTATTATTGAGTGAGACAGGTTGCACTTAAATCCATTTACATGATACATGTGGAACAGATACAGAGGCTGATTCTGGGCTTGGCATGAGGAAGAGAATAAGCTAATAACACACAGTTAGGAAGTTTCCTTTTTTTATAGGACCCTGTTGCCTGCACTGTCCATGTGGCTATTTAAACAAAATAAAATAGAAACATCCATTTCTCAGCCACACTAACCATTTATCACGTACCCAATAGTCTCAGGTGGCTTAGTGCCTAGCACATTGAAGAGTACAAATACAGAACATTTCCATCATCCCAGAAAGTTCTTTGACCAGCACTGGATGACACATTTTAGTGACTTGTTTCAATTCTGCCTGTGTGAAGCTATAAATGGGCCCTGGAAGATGCAAATAGCTTTTTGTTTGCTTGGTTTATGAAGATATGAGGAGAGCATTTACTGCTGCAATCAAATATAGCTTTCCTCCTGCCTCATACATTTCCTTTTAATTCTTTCTCCTGGTTTTATTTTACCTGCTAAATATCACCTCTTTGTAAGTAAACTGAGCAAATTTAGAACCAATAAATGGATACCCTCTTTTACGTGCATCTCAAAGAAACTTATTGCCATCGAATTAGAACAGACTCCTCACTGACCTTCCAGAGGTTTTTAGAGGCTGTAAATAGCACAAGAGGAGACAGCCCATCTTTCTCCAACAGAGCTGCTTCTGGATTCAAACCCACAAAGATGCACCGCCTCTGGGTTAGCCATACAAGTCCCCAAGGACTCTACAACCAGAGTTCTATATGCACATTAAAAAAATGGAACTGCAAGACACGGAGGAGCAGGTTGAAAGCCAGGCCCATTGTAGATTGATTCCTGGAGGTACCTTATTGAAATCTGTGATGCGGGGGAGCAGATCTTTATGTTCTTTATAGCATCCCCCCTCTTTGTCCTGATCAGAAACTAAGGCCTGGGATTTGAGGGTGATGGGTGTTTTTGTTGGAGAGGTTCAGTGTGCGGCTTCCTTCTGTGCTCAGGTGGAACTGGAGGTCCCTCAACCCTGTATCTTCATTCTGAAGACGAGCCAGTGCACCCTGAAAGAAATGTATGTTGTCAACGCTGAGGGCAAGACAGTGATGAAGAAGACCAAGAACTCTGACGAGTTTTCTGCTGCCATGGCCAGGTAAGGCAGGGGCACATCCTTGTAAGCAACTGAGTCCTGTGCATCCTGCATGTTTTAGGAACACACAAGAGTGTGGTTGTGTGGTCCCTTGAGGTTGGAATATGTGTGTGTTCAGATCAGGCATGTATATAAGTTTGTTGTTGCTGTTTATTGCTATCGAGTCGAGTACGACTCATACCGGCACTATGAACAAAAGTCTTGAATTGAAGCCTTTCTATAACTTTCGTCATTTCTCAAAGTTCGTAGTTTCCAGAAACATGTTATTTAAGAAATGGATGCCACTGTTGCTTCCAACCCAGTCTTGAACTTTTAAGCACTTATATTCTGAATTCACCATGGACCATGGAATGATTTATTTTGATTTTCTACAATGACAAAAAAAAAAAAAAAAGAGGAAAGCAGTGCTACCCTTCTGGTTAAATCCCTATCATTATCGACTGAATGTGGTGTTGAAAGAGTTAAACACAAACTCGTTGCCATGGAGTCAGTTCCCACTCCCAGCATCCCTGCACTGGGTTTCCTGGGCTCTAAATTATCACGGGAGAAGACTGCACAGCTTTCTCTTCAGGAACCACTGGTGGATTTGAACCGCCCGAGACACTTGATCTTTCGGTTGGCTGTGTTGCCGAGTTTTAAACTCATTGAGACAATAAAGAGAAAGTAGGGTTTCTTATGTTTGTGGTTTTTGTTGTTTTTTTTTTGTTTTTGTTTTGTTTTGAGGTTTTTTGTTTATTTATTTTTTAAATACTAGTAAATCTTTGTTTCAAGAATTAAACAAGGTGGTGTTTGGTGGTCTGAGGTGGGTGTGGGTCTCAGCAAGATCTCCTCTGTGGCCTACACATGGAGAGTGACTGGAGGACAAACACATACACCTAAGAAGGCAGCTTCTCTTGGTCGGTACAAACCGTCAAACTTACGGTTAATAGTGCTTTAACCATTTGCATCACCCAGGGATTCCTTCAGACATGGCCCAGCTCAGCTCATTGCTGTCAAGTTGGAACTAACTCATAGCTGACCCTCCAGCAGGTTTTGAGAGGCTGTAAATAGAATGGGAAGAGAGTGTACATCTTTGTCCTGAGAAGCTGATAGATTCAAGTTTGCCTTTGGGTTAACAGCACAAACAACTCCTTACCCACTAAGCCACCAGACGTCCTTGGCTAGAGAGGCCCTATTTGGTCTCAGACAGGGCTGGAGACCACATAAAAGATTGAATATTCCATAGTAGGGAGCTCTGGTGGCCTAGAGGTAAGAAGCTGCACTGCAATCACAAAGGTGTCCAGTTCGAATCCACCAGCTGCTCTGCGGGAGAAGGATAGACAATCTCCTGTGCAATTAACTGCCTCTAAAAACCTGTGCCAGCATCAGTGGTGAGTCAGTTTCAACTTGAAGCACACAACAACATCGACAACTCAATAGTCAGTGCCAATGAGTCAACAGCGGCTCTCATAGCAACTCAAGGGACAAGTGAAAAAAACCCAGATCCATTCAACTCACTTGCTAATTACTGTTAAGTCAGAACTGACTCAAATTGACCCTCCAGTGGGTTTCAGAAGCTATAAATCACAGGAGAGACTGAGCACCTTCCCCCTGAAAAGGTGTTCGTGAATTGGGAGGCCCAGAGGGGCTCAGCCTTTAAGTTAGTAGCACATCTCCCTACTCAAATTCACTACTAACTATGAAATACAAAGAAATAGAATAATGGAATGTTGTTGTTGTTGTGTACCATAGAGTTGGAACTGACCCATAGCTGACCTTTCGGAGGGTTTTCAAAGACAGTTAACTCATGGGAGGAGGTTGCCCATCTTTCTCCCGTGGAGCAGCTGGTGGCCTCGAACCATTTGTCTTCGGGACTGCCACGCAGTTTCCTGCCATTAGGCCACTAGAGCTCCCTAACAATGGATTCGTGATCATTTTAAACCAATCAGACATTAAAACATCTAAAGCACCTGCTACTGACAGATCTATAAGGAAAGAAGTACTTTCCATTCATTGTTGTTAGACATGAGAATTATTAAGCAATATCTGTTATGATTAAAATATTTATATGCTTCGACATAGCAATCTCAGTCTCTGGGACTCCAGCCTATAAAAATAAAGAGTAGTAATGCACGAAGATATATATGTTCATGGGTATTTATTTCAGTATTACCATGTGGCCAAAGCTATCAAATAATAAAATATATAAAATGAATGACATCAAAAAAGAAAAGGTCTGAATATAACCCTAAAATTTAATGTTATGCTGCCTTTTGAAACAGGTTGGAGCTATTTTAAGCACCAAATGACTCAGAAGGGTTTTCACAGAGTGTAATTGAGAAAAGCAAAATGAACTAAAGAGTGCATAGTTCAATCTTACTCATATGTATCAAGCAGTGACAAAAAAAATCTTTTACAAAATATAATGAATGAGATGGGAGCTCTGGTGGCCAAGTGGGAAGAAGCTATGCTGCAATCTCAATGGTACATGGTTCAGGGCCACCAGCTGCTCCACGGGAGAAAGATGGGCAATCTCCTCCCATGCGAGTATCTGCCTCTGAACACCTGCCAAAGGGTCAGCTGTGGGTCGGTTCCAACTGGACAGTACACAACAACACAAACAACAATGAATAGGAATGATTGTATGAAATACAATATGAATGAAGACTAGTATGAAATATCATGTATAAAATATAACCAGTATTAATGGTAATAATAATATTTCTATTATGTTAATTCAGCCCTCAGGCCTGTCTTTCATTGTTTTTGTTCAGACATTCCTCTAGGTCGTATAGCACTGGTGTACAAGTTGCCGTACTGCAGTCACTTGTGATTGCTGTGAGGCTGAACACTGTGACACTGATGTGTCAAATGCTTTAATGGTTGGCTACCCAATGTGGGGTGGAGCTCCCCGATTGAAACAAGTTTGGAAGGAGGAGTGGCATCCACTTCCATAATAACTTGCCTCCGGAAACCCTATGAACCTGGAGAGAGGATGAGAGACATTAAGCGTTGAGGACACTCCTTCATAGGGTCGCTATGAGTCACCTGCAACTCGATGTCACTTAACAACAACAACATTATGTTAATTAATTATTAATATAATTAATAAACAATTCATTATTTATATTAACCATTAATTGCTTTCTCTTATATTCCCTAACATTATTCATAAATAATATTATTATAAAATATAATAAATATTAACCAATATTAATAATAAATACCATGTATAAAATAGAACCAATATAAAATAAAAATTTTATTTCTAAAGAAATTATTCTTTTATAAAAAAAGCATATTTAAAATGCCACCAAGTGTTTCTATTTGTATTGCTTTTGAAAAGTATGTGTATTTTTAAAGAAATGTTGTAAAAAAAGAGAAAGGAATAAGTGTCCGCAAAGGTGTCCCAGCTATTTCCAACAGTTTTCCCCAGGCTCTAATATAGATGTGTGTGAGTCCAAGCCAAGAAGTGTAAAGATTGTGTCATTGTCTTGTATGACTGGGATCAATTTATGCTCACTTGTCATCTTCCTGTTGTGATCTCTCTGTGGTCATATTTTCTCTCTCTCTCTCTCTCCCCGCCCCTCCCTCTCGCTCCCTTTCTCTCCCTCTCTGTCTCTGTCTCTCACTTTTTTCTCTTTCTCTGGCAGGAATGACCTCAAGTTCTTTGTCTATAACGGGAAGCAGGTTTTGCTCATCCAAGAGAAGAATGAGCTCAAACACATCCTAAACATCAAGAGGGGCATCATTTCTGCCTTTCTAGTTCCTCCAGACACAGAAGAGGCCAACCAAGTGTTGTTTCTGGTGAGAATCTGAAAAAATTGTAATAGTGGTTTTTAGCTCATCTTCACATATTCCAGCCCAGTTCCTCTGTGTATGTGGCTTAGGTCCATGGCTAGTTCCATAGCAAACCTTCTGCCTGGGGCTTACTTGCACAAAAGTCCAATGGTTATATTGCCCAGATTCCTTTCTTTCTGCCTGTAAAGATACCCGAGGTGAAAGTAAGCTCATAGTTCCCCCTTGAGCTCACTGACTTTTCTCTCCCCTTTCCTGAGGCTGATTGGGTTAGATGTAATTTAAAAGCACTTACTGGGGTGTCCTGATCACTTTGTCCCCTGCTTTTGCTTAACTTATTCCCCTGTTTGCATGACATATGCAAACAACCATGACAACTCATTGCATTGATTCAAAACTGAGTCATAACTGACCATCCAGCAGGTTTTCAGAGGCTGTAAATCACACAGGAGTAGATTGTCCACCCTTCTCCAGCAGAGCAGTTGGTGAATTTGAATTGCCTGTCTCTGGGTTGATGGCACCACTCCTTAACCACTGGGCCACTAGTCCTCCCTATGAGGTATTTATAACACAGTATTTATAATAATTATAGTATTTATAATACCTCTGTGGGGATATTTTAAACACCAAAGATAATTTAATATGCTGCAAACTTCTTTTAAAAACTTTGGGTTCCAGCTTTGGAACAAACTCCATTCCCCATTCTTAAGCACTTACTGTTCTAAGCTCTGTACCAGACCATTGCCAGAGAATACTAACATGCATTCTGTGGGGTGAACCCAGACACACCCAGCACAAAGCAGAAAGGAAAGCATGTGGTAACAGCCAAGACCCAGAGACCCAAGACCAAGGCCCCAGAGCATAGAATACAGAAACAATCATTGGAAAACTCCTGGAAGAGTTGTACTCAGTTGTGCTCAGTCTTCAGCTCAGAATCACCTTTAATCACTCTTTTCTCAACTCTGGCTGTCCAAGTATTAGTACTACTCTCATTAATTACGCAGAAGAAACAACATCACAAGTCTTGTGTTACTTCGGCCTCTACCTCCAGGCTTTTCCCAATAATCTAACACCATGGGTTTACACACACACAGACACAGAGACACACACACACCCACAATGCACTCAGTTTCTCTTCTGTCCCCACAGGATACTGTCTATGGAAAGTGCGCCAGTGAAGTCACCTTTAAGACAAGTACAGAAAACGTGGTGACAGAGATATCCATTAACAGGAACTTGAGCGAGTGTGATCACTTCAAACCCATCGCCACAAGCGTCAGCCCCCTAGCTCTCATCAAAGGCAGGGTAAGTCTTGCACCAACATTGTTGTTCACACTGAACACTGTCCTCTTTATAATCAAAATTCTGTTAAAAAGAGAAGGGATCACAGATTAGAATTCGGCCAGCCTGTTCTTTATACGGAGGAACTGAGGACCAGAGAGGAATGGATCACGTGGACCATGACTAATTGAGCCAGAAACAGGGTCAGGTTCCAGCTCCCAGTCCAGTACTCTGGTCCTTCATTCTGTCTTTGTCACTGGCACTAAATCCTTTGCTACCTACCACTTAATAGCAGTAATTACCACTGGTGAAGGCAATAGGACTTGTCCTGGGACACCAAGCAGATGATTATTGCTTCCTGTGCAAGGGCTGAAAGTCTCAGCTCTTACCTCTGGCCTCAGAAGACGTTTTGAGGCTTACGCTTCCTTCTCCTCTCCATTATTCCCATAAATTGCCACTTGTTAAGCCCAAATGTCCCAACTTCATGGCCTTCTACCCTAATTATGACCTGGATTAAAGTCTGGTTCTTCTGCCACATGCCCAGGCCACCCCCACAGCATTGACCTTCTTTCTGTTGAGTCAGTGAGGACCAGAGAACACCATGTGACCTATGCTTGCTCAACATCAAGCCTTGTAACATCTTCCGGAACATTAATTACAGGTTGTCTAAATAAACATGAGGGGCTTGAGCCATCACTCTCGTAGCTGCCAAGTTTCCTGGTCATTGTCCTGAGGGCCAGTAACAGGGAGTTTAATGCTCACAGGGATTTCCAAATCTGCTCAGAGCACCTGCTGTGTGAACACCTTCTTCTTAGTAGCACTGAGGAAAGGGCAATGGCAGATGAGCCATGAACGTGCCCCTTAAGTAGCTGACAGTCGAATGTAGGAACAAAGCTTATGCTTGTGCCAATAAGGGACAGCAACAAGTGGTGCACATCAAAACTGTGATGTGCTGAGGAGTGTAGATGAGTAGTAGACAAAGTCCTAGTCGCATCATTCACTGGGACTGAAATTTCATAGTGGCTCATGCACTACAACAGCAAAGCACAAGGGACACATATGAAAGGACTTCTTAGGCAAAGGAGAAATAATAAGTGGTACTATGTGAGGGGTGGCACAAATTGTTTTGTGCTCATGTGGTAGCTGAAAAGTTTGCAAGGTTGAATCCACTCAGGGCCACCTGAGAGGACCAGCAATCTGTGCCCAACAGGTCAAAGCCAAGGGAAACCTGACAGAACATGGTTCTCCTTTGACCCCTGTGGCGCCACCATGAGTCAGAATAGATGCTAGAGCAACTAACAGCTCTGTGTGAGATGTTGTTATGTGTTGCATCCAAGATGTATACTATGTGAAAGATGGGAGGTCAATTGAGGTGAAGTGTAATTCTATACCGTGACTCAGATGTAGGAAACCTGAGTTGTTACATCTCTATGTCCAAATTCTAAACATCAAGCTCCCGTCTTTTACTGCCTCTTCCAAGCGATAAAGTACCCTTTGATGGTATAAAAGACTTGGGTTCAAACTACAAACCTAAATCAAACCAACAGCCCTCGGTCTATTCTCACTCCTGTTGACCCTCTGTCAGCTTTCCAAGGCTGTAAACCTTTATGGGTAGAGATTGTCTTATCTCTCGCCCATGGTGCACCTGATGAGTTCAACTTGCTGACCTTTTAATGAACAATCCAGTACCTAAAGCATTATGCCACCAGGGCTCCTTTTCACACCACTGATCAAATACTCTTCCCAATCTCATGCGCAGATTGACCCCTTATCAAGTCTGATCAGCAGCAGCCAGTCCTGTCAGTACACCCTGGACTCCAAGAGGAAGCATGTGTCGGAAGCAGTCTGCAAGGAGAAACACCTCTTCTTGCCTTTCTCCCACAAGTAGGTCACCTGTTGCATATGTGACTTATCACTTGGTTTGTGAGGGCAGGGATATTAAAATGAGCTGAACACTTTTCAATTCTCTATTTCAAGCTAGTAAGGTGAGTACAGAGACACAAGGCCAACCCCATCCCTATTGCCTTTGTCAGGCTCACTGGCCATCTGGCAGGAAAGTCTCGTTCAAGTAAACTCAAGTTCAATGAAAGCTATCCCAGTCCTACTCTTGAAAGGATCTGCATCAAGGAAAAGCTGTGGATCATCAGAGGCTACTATGGTTAGAAAAGGCTTCATCATGCAAGATACTCAGATCCATTTTGAAGCTTATCAATCAACTTATATTCTGTGTACCGCATTGTGCTTTGAGACATATGAAAGGATTCTAACGCACAATGCTAATTCCTAAGCTCTGGGCCAAACAGACTAGGGAGAATGAAAGGCACACATCCTTCTGGTGACTGGATGGCGAACATGAGCAGGAGGTGTGAGCACTCTTCATTAAACAATCTAAAACAGCTGTATTGAATTGCGCTGTAAAATCTAGTCAATACTGAGATAGAAAGAGCAGGGGGAAACATGCAACATGGAAAAACAAGAGGACTGCATAAACTAGGGAGGGGGACCGGCCATTGGTGACATGACCCGCTTCCTTTGTTTACCAGGGATGAGTACGGAATGATGACACAGGTCACACAGTCTTTGAAACTTGAAGATGTACTGAAGATCAGCAACAACTTCTACAATGAAGGTAAGTCTTTGTGCCCACGGGACTTCTCCAGCTGGGTTCTGTGCCCGTAGCGTAGCAACTACAGCTTAGCTCTTTGGCAGCCTTGATAACACACCACTGATGCATGAGTCAAGTAGACTCCAGTATTCTGGCTACTGAGCTACCTCTAATGAGAAAGCTTATTCCTTTCAAAATATCAAATAGCAACAAAAAAGGTATTGCTTCAAAATCTCCCATAGTTTTTGTACAGTGGAACATCAAACTAGGACTGGTGCCCTAAATCTAATGTGACTTCTGACAGTATCATGTATTGTATAATGACATTACAGGGCCTGATTCATATGGAGTCTGGACATGGTGAGGCAATCTTTAATAGTAGTTCCAGGAACAAGGCTTTAGAAATGAAAGAGTTTTTAGAAATTGCTAGTCAACTTTAACTCCTTGCATTTGTATTATATTTAAGAAGCCAAATCTCTTTCTTATACATTACCTCATTGTATAATATAGCATCTGTGATGTCAGAGCATAGGAACATATACCTTTATAACCATTCTCTAGAGGAAAAAAATTACACATGGAGAGGAGTACTGATTCTATTCAAAACTATTAGAGGCAGTGTGGAATTAGCCCTGGGGCTAAGTTAAGCTAGAGCTCTTCCATTGCACCACAATATGCTAGTAGATCCAATTAGAAGAAATAGTGAGTGAAGTGTGATGACTCTCAGCACCAGCTGCAGCCAGGTTAGCGCCAGCAGCACCTCTTCACGAATTCCTCCCAGCAGAAAAGGAGCTGAGGCGGACTTCAAACAGACTCAGCTCTGCCGGTCCATGCTAGGATGTTCTTGGGCAAGTTCAACTGATTGCTCTATCTTTAAAAGAGCCCTGGGAAGGCAGCTATGCTCACCACTATACCACCAACGCCGCACCATAGTGTAGGAGTATGCAATGATGGTTGCAGAGTAGATTATATTTGGGGGTAGGGGTGGGGTTTGGAGAGGTGCGGGGGGGATTGTGTACCAATGAGGAAGTTTTTCTTTTGCTTTTCAAGGAGAGGAGCAAACGGGGGGGGGGGGGGGGGGGTTTGTGCGGGGAGAAGGGTGCAAAAATGAATGAATGGAATTCCAAAATCTCTATAGATGTTCATTGAAATTAAAAATAAACAAACTAAATTAATAAAAAAAAGAAAAAGAAGAAAAAAAAAAAAGAGCCCTGGGGACATAGTGTGCTGCTGAACAAAGGTCATGGGAGCCAGGCCGTGGGAGAAAGACAGGCCATTTCAGAAACCTGCTTGTTGTTGTTATGTGCCATTGAGTGGCCTGCGACTCATAGTGATCCCATGTACAAGAGCCATAAACGCCTTTCTATCCTGTGCCAGCCTCACTCTCTAACACATTCATTCCCACAACTCCACTCACAGAATCGATCCATCTCATCGAAGGTCTTCCTCTCCTTCACTGCCCCTCTACTCTCCCAAACATGATGTCCCTCTCCAAGGACCAGTCCCTCTTTACAACATACAAGTATGTCAGACGAAGCTCCAGAATCCTTGACTCCAAGGAGCATTCTGGCTTCACCTTCTCCAGGATAAACCTGTTTGTTCTCCTAGCAGTCCATGGTATATTCAACACTCTTCTCCAGCACCACAGCTCAAAGGCATCAATTCTCTTTCTATCATCCCTAGTCACTGTCCAACTCTCTGATGCATAGCATGTAATTGTGAAGACTATAGCCTGGATCAGGTACACCTTAGTCTCCAGCCTGACGTCGTTGCACTTCAGTGCTCTTGAGAAACCTGATAGAGGGTTGTTAAGAATTACAATGATTAGATGGCAATAAATACTAATCTTTAAAGTAGGGAAGGATGTTAACTTGTGGGAGTATCGTGATGTTCCATGGAAAAAAACTTCAGCCAAACTCTGATAGCAGAGAACACACAAAAGGTTATGAGGACAGGGTAGTTTTCACTCTTGACCTTTTGGCCCAATGTCCAGATGTTACTCTAGAAAGATGTTATTGAGACACTGAGATAAACAAGAGCTCCTATGGGATATTTCTTTCTTCCAGGTGGCAAGATAGTGAGACTCACCTTTGAGAGCACCAAGTCCATATCACTCTCAAAGCAAGCAGATGTTGCTTTGAAAACACTTCAGAAATTGCAACAAGTGTCCTCTTATGAGATGAACATCCAGAGATCTAACCTCTTCAACAAGCTGGTTACTGAGCTTAGAGGCCTTAACAACGAAGTTCTCACAGGTGTCTTGCCAAAGCTGATTCAAGTGTCCAGGTAATTCTTTAATGTTGTAGCTCCATAGCTCACATAAATGGTGGTAACTAAGCTTTTAAATCTTGGTCAAATAGAAAATCTTCATTCTTGAGCATTATTTAAATATCAAGTTAATTAATCCATTTACCAATTAATGTTTTCTGGATAGAGAAACAGCCAAGGTACCTCGCCTTGGAAGTCTAGAGTTCTTTGTCACACACACACACACACACACACACACACACACACGTATATAAAGGAGAAATGTTAATGTCTAAAAGTTGGAATCTTTTTACATACAGATAGAATCATTCTTGGGTGATCAATACAGATGGAAAAGGCGGGAGAGGAGAGTGAAAATAACTCAGTTTGGTGAAGAGAAAGGCACTATACAATAAGGAGTTGGTTATTCATTATAATTAATTAGCAATGATAATCAGTTGTAATTATTACAAAACAAAATGGATACGAATTATTGAATGGAAATCAATATAATTTGTAAATTTTCACTAAAAAAATTAAATAGGTGTCAGTCAAAACAATACTCATAAAATACAAAGTAGAGCCACAGTTCCCAAATTTTGGTGGGCATCTTCTATTTCAGTTCCATTAGAAAAAGAAGTTTGCTCCCTTTAGAGTTTTATAGATTAAGTGGAGAGAGCACTCAGGCAAATAAATCATACTATGATTTGTCTTCACTTCATGGCATTGTCGCTAAATTTAAGGGTCAGAGAAGGGACCGGGGGTGGGGGGAGAAATTTTCATGTTATGAATAATCTGAATTGCATTGTCAAAGATGATTGCATTCAAGTTTGACTAAAGGCAGTAAATGCATCCTTGCCAAAGGGAATATCTTGGCCAGAGAGTGGCTTTGTCTACCTTACAGGTAGTCCTTAAAACATTCCGTTCTTTTCTTCTCAGCCCCATCACTTTACAAGCCTTGGTTCAGTGTGGGCAGCCCCACTGTTACACTCACATCCTCCAGTGGCTCAAGAGTGAGAATGCCAACCCCCTTCTGATAGATGTTGTGACTTACCTGTTGGCCCTGATCCCAGAGCCCTCTGAAGAAAGGGTGCAGGAGATCTTCAAGACGGCAAAGCAGCAGTGGAGCCGGGCCACCTTTTATGCCCTGAGCCATGTGGTCAACAAGTGAGTGGGCTTGCCTGTACCCTTGCCAGTAGCTGAGGCCTCCTCCTACATCTCAATGTTAAAATTGCCTCTCTTTTTTTCAAATTCTTATACTTAACTTTTCTTTTCTGGTGATAGTTTTATGAGTAATCACTTGAAGTAAGAAACCACAAATACAGGTTTGAATTTTAAGAGAAAGCTTGCTGAATCCTAACACACTTCCTTTATTCTGTAGCTATCATGAGATAAATCGCAAGACGACCCAGGTCCTGTTAGACATTGAGGAATACCTGTTGGCACAGATTCGCAATGACTGCACTGGAAACAAAGACCACATCTACTTGATTTTGAGGGTACTTTCAATCTTTTGTATAATGCATTTTGTTCCAGAAACACTTTCTTGGGAATATCTTTCAATCCTCCTTCTACTCCCTAATGCTACCTTGTCTCTTTTCTCCAATCCAGGTCATTGGAAATATGGGCAGAACCATGGATCAGGTGAGCCCAAGACTGAAGTCCTCTGTCCTGAAATGCACCATAAGCACACAGTCATCGCCGATGATTCAGAAAGCTGCTATCCAGGCCCTGAGGAAAATGAGCTCTAACCGAAAGGTAACGTCCACAAGAGGTCTGAAAATGAGATGTTTGTTTATACTAACAGGATTTGGAGTATACCAGTTAACACAGTTCTAAAAGTCATCATTGTATTCACTTGATTCTTTAAAGAACTCCATTGGATTAAGTTGATTCTGACCCATGACTTCTTCATTCTACTGTTTACTGGGTGCAAAATTGAATAAGTCTCTTGACTTGACTGCCAAGTAATCTGCTTATATGACAGATAATTGACCTTGCTTCTACACGCTCTCAATATGCAAAATATATCTTCTAGTGCTGTGTTGACCATCACCCTTTTCTTGGGAGAGCGTACCTCACTTGCCTCAATATCCCCAAATGAAGGTAGTTAACCTGGTCAACAACCCTTTGAAATTAACCCTGCAGAACTTTGCATTCAAATTGAAATAACATAGTCTACAATAACTATATTTTTTTTCACCAAAGGTAGATTCTCCAAATAAGTCACAAGTTAGACAGACCTGTTATATTTTAACAAGTTCAATGATCTGGCTGCTTTGAAGAACACTGCAGAGACAATTCCTCGTCATATTTTAATACTTATTGAAGAAAAATCTTAAGTACCTCTAAGAAACATCTAGCAGACCATGTTGGTGTTCTCTAGGTATGTTTTATGTTCTGACCAAAAAGCAGTGATAATTGTCTCCTCTTTTGACTACAGGTCCAGGAAACTCTTCTTGAGATTCTCCTTGATGGTGCTTCTCCAGTGGATAAACGTCTGGCTGCCTACCTCATCCTGATGAGGGAAGCTTCCCAGGAGGATATTAACAAAGTTGTCCAGTTTCTCCCACAGGAAAAGAATGAGCAAGTGAAAAATTTTGTAGCTTCCCACATTGCCAACATCTTAAATTCAGAAGAATTGTATGTCGACTCGTAAGTAAGACTAATTGTCTTCCCCATTTGGAGCAAAAGACCCTGGGTTAAATCTTCTTAATCCATTCTGGTATAGACTGCCGCTTCTGCAGTAAATGCTAGTGCAAATTTGTGACACATTCTTAGTCAAAATCTTGGGAGAAATGAAACTGAATAGTGTGGTAGCACATGGAAATTCCTATTCACCTGGGGTAAGAAAAGCAACAGATAAACCATATGATGTGTTGTCTCAAAATACATTTCCCTTTTCAATCTAGATTGAAAACATTAGTGGAAGAAACTCTAAATGGCTCTCAACTCCCAACCATCCTGGATTTCAAAAAATTCTCTCGGAATTATCTCATCTCTAAATCAGCTACCCATCCATCACTTGGTCTCGTCTCAGGTGCACTGGAAGGAAATCTTATATTTGATCCAAACAATTACATTCCTAAAGAAAGCATGCTAAAGGCCACCCTCACTTTCTTTGGATTTTCTCCAAATGATCTTTTCGAGGTACGTGTAATACTGACTCCTCTAATTTCTTCCGGGAGCTCTGGCGTCAAAGCTTGTAGGAAGTTTTGGTGCTACGCTCAAGGCTGCACCTCTTTGGTAGTTTGACTCCACCAATATCTGTGCTGTAGAAAGATAGGCAATCTCTTCCAATGCAATTTATAGCCTTGGAACCTGCTGAAGATCAGCTATGGGTCAGCTCCAACTCAGCAATGAGCTGAACTACCTATTACAGAACATAGACAGTAAGTGAGATTTGTGAGCCAGATGGGGTAAGAACAAGAAGCTGTTTGTGCCATCTCTTTGAGGACTTCTTCGGCCTATATAGCCTTCACTCTTCTCTCTCCACCCCACCTGACACACTGTCTTCCAGGGGTCATCTTAAGCACACTGATTAGTATAAATGTAAATATTGATGCCTCAGCTATGAAACCCTTAACCTCAATCTTAAGGAAGTCAACGGGTGGTGGAATCCTATCTGGTCTGCACTCCAAATCTACTTCCAACTCTGAATCATTGATTGAATTCTTTATCCTCTCTGAACCCTAGTGTTCTCTTTTATAAAAAAGAAGTAAATAAATTCTGCCTTTCTAAATGTCAGTGAGATTTAAATAAGACAACTTCTGTGAAGTGCTAAGCTCAATTGTTGCCCTGTAGTGTAAATGTTTAATTAGATGGATGTAAAGAGAGAACTCAGGAGTTGGTGTACACCAAAGGAATTTGTGACATTGCCTGTCTGATTGTCTACTCTATTCTTAGATCGGCTTGGAAGCAAAGGGCTTTGAACCAACATTAGAAGCTCTCTTTGGAAAGCAAGGATTTTTCCCAGACAGTGTCAACAAGGCTTTGTACTGGGTTGATGGAAAAGTTCCTGATCAGGTCTCCAAGGTCTTGATGGATCACTTTGGCTACAACAAAAATGATAATCATGAGCAGGTGTGTATTTATTAATTATCCCCTCAAGGAAAGTTTTGAACGTCTATGCAAAGACACACCTATCCAAATTTGGTTGTCATAATACTATTGTAACTGAAGTGATAACTGTGTCTGTTATTAACCAGCCCTATTACCAACTTTCTTTAGTCTTCCTCATTCATATAAAGCAGTTACATTTTCTCAAGACAGTCCTAATTTTATTTCCTAGTCAAAAGATAGAGGGGTTTACAAAGGATGAACAAATTGTCTTCTAATCTTGAGGAGCCCTAGGATATGGAAATCTAGAGGGCATATATTACCTTTACTATTCATACATTATTTCAAATTAAGACTAGCTATCAGGGAAGCACCACTGTCCCTGGCAAGACTGTAGTTTTTCATCTCAACTGTTGTTATGTGCCGTCAAGTCACTTGTGACTTACAGCAACCCTATACACAATAGCTCTGAACTCTGTCGTATCATGAGCCAGTCTTACTGTCGCCAACACACCTAACCTCACTACCCCAGCTACTGTGTCACTCAATCTCATCCAAGATCTTCCTCTTTCATGCTGTCCCTCAACCCTTCCAAACATGATGTCCTTCTCCAAGGCCTGGTCCTATCTAGCTACATGCCCAAGGTATGTGAGATGGAGCTTCAAGATCTTTGCCTCCAAGGAGCAACTTGGTTTTACCATCTCCAGACCGATACAGTTGCTCTTTAGCACTCTGGGGAGATCCTTGACAGCAGATTTTGCCAATGCAATTTGTTTTTCGATTTCCTAACTACTGGTACCAAGGTGTCGATTGTGGAACAAGCAAGCTGAAATTGTTAACAAGTTTGGTCCCTTCTCCATCTATCATGGTGCTGCCAGTTGGCCCAGTGGTGAGAATCTTTGTCTTCTTGATATTGAGCTTCAATCCATATTGAAGAATGCAGTCCTTGACTTTCTGCAGCAAATGTTTCAGTTCCTCCTCAGCTTCAGCAAGCAAGGTTGTGTCATCAAGGTTGTTGATGAGTCTTCCTCCAATCTCAATGCCAAATTCCTCCTCATATGCTCAGCTTTCCTAATGATCTGTTCCACATATAGATTGAAAAGGTATGGAGACAGGACACATCACTGATGCACTTCTTTCCAGATACTGAACCATGTAGTGTTTCCTTGCTCTGTTCTGACCGCCTCCTGGTCCATGTATAAGTTTTACATGAGCACAATCAGATGTTCTGGATTTCCATTCTTCTCAAAGTTAGCCACAATCTGTTATGATCCACACATTTTTTTTTAACACTGATACACATTTTTCCAGTATTCTCTGCTCTCAGCTAAGATCCATCTAGCATTGACTATGATGTCCCTCATCGTACCACAGCCTCTTCTGAACCCATCTTTTATTTCTGGTAGCTCTTTGTCAATGTAACATTCCAGTCATTTTTGAATACTCTTTAGCAGGATTTTTCTTACATGTGATGCAGCTCTGAACATACTCATCACCAAAAATTCAGAAGACAGCTACTCAGGCAGCTGAAAGGAAGAAATCCATATTTATGCTCATTCCAGTGGAAGGTTATCCAATTGTATGTGGCAATTATTGAGCAATAGCATTAGTAATATATGCAAATAAAATTTTGTTGCTAGTAATTAAAAAACAGTTATAGCAGCACCTTGACAGGGAACTGCTATAGATTAACTTCAGATTCAGAAGAGGATGTGGGATGAAGGGTTTCATTGATGTTGCCAAATGGATACGAGTGGGAAGAAGCTGCACTACCATCCCAAAGGCATGTAGTTCAACTACAACAGCTGCTCCACAAAAGAAAGATGGGTAATCTCCTTATATGCGATTAATGTGCCTCTGAAAAGCCACTGGAGGGTCAGCTATGAGTCAGTTCTGACTTGATGGTACACAACAACAGGTTGAAATTAGAAAACTGTTTACCAGTGTTTCTGGTATATGCAAAGGCATTAGGCTTTTATGGATAATGTGGAAAAATGTAATTTCAAGAATTGTTTTTATGTGAAACATGCACATGGACCAAGAGGCAGTTGTTTTACTAGAAAAGGGGGATAATACCATGGAGTTTAGTAGCAGGAAAGGTGTGTGTCAAGGCTCTGTCCTTTCATATTTACTAAATCTTTAGTCTAAGTAAATAATTTGAGAACCTGAACTATATGAAGAAGAATGTGGCACCAGAATTAGAGTAAAACTCATCAATAACCTGTGATATGCAGCTGAAACAATTTTCTTTTCTGAAAATTAAAAGGACTTGAAGTACTTAGTGATGGAATAGACTCAACATAAAAAAATAAACCCTAAATCTTTGCATTTGGACCAATAAGTAACATCATGCTAAGTTGAGAAAATGTTTAAATCATCAAAGATGTCATTCTACTTTGATCCACAATTGATGCCCATGGAAATAGTGATCAAGAAACCAAATGACTTACTTCCTTGGGTAAATTTGTTTCAAAAGATTAACGTATTAAGAAAGGAAAGATTTCACGTTGAAGACGAAGGCACACTTGACTCGCATCATGGTGTTTTTCAATTGCTTCATGGACAATGAAAAAGGGAGAGTAAAGAAGAATCGATGTACTTCGATTATGGTTTTGTTGAGGAATAATGAATATACCATGGGTTGCCAGTGAAATGAATATATCTGTCTTAGAAGAAATGCAACTGGAATCCTTCTTCAAGATGACTTTGTCTTGCATACTTAGGACACATTATCAGGAGGAACTAGTCTCTGCAGAAGGACAGCATGCTGATAAAGTACAGGGTCCATTAAAGAGAGGAAGATCCCCAACAAGATAGACCGATGTAGTGGCTACAACAATGGACTTAAGCACAACAACAATTTGCAGGATACCACAAGAACAGACACTGTTCCTTTCTGTTGTATGTTGTATATGGGGTTGCTATGAGACAGAACTAATTTAACACCTGAAAATGTCTATTGTGTCTCTTTACCTTGTTCAGTTCCAATATGGTTGCAGGATATGGGCCCCCCACACATCAGGAATCTAAAGTTGGTAGCACTATCATCTAACTGATTTTACATTTCAAATTCCTAGGATATGGTGAATGGAATTATGTTCAATGTTGATAAACTGGTGAGAGATGTGATATCCAAAGAAGTCCCAGAAGCTCAAGCCTATCTTCGCATCTTGGGACAGGAGCTTGGTTTTGTCAAGTCCAGTGACCTAAAGTACCTGCTTCGGCTGCTACTCAATGGTGCTCGCGCTCTACAGGGGATCCCTCAGATGGTGAGTACACCGGGCCCAACCAGAGGGGCCCTCAGATATCCCAGACACTCTTTAACTTCCCTGACACACAAACCAGAGAAAACCCCTGTATTTTTCTTTGCAAGAGGCAACTTTATCTTGTATTCCAATGGGGAAGGGGGGATCTTTGGTTACACTGAATTGAAAGCATCTAAAATTAAACAATTCATGATGAGGTGTGCCACGAGCAGTAATTTCTCTGCAAAGCCCCCCTTCCCCTATGTGTGTCAAAGGTTCCCTTTAGTGTTAAAATAATACAGTAATTATGAAAGAAAGTATTTGGTGAACTGTAATCCATTACTCAAAAGTAGTAATATTTTATTTTTATTACTTTATTACTATTAAAGAGACTAGGAGTGGCATCCACCTCCTAAACAACACGCCTCTGGAAGCTCTATGAACTTTGATAAATGTCCATAATTATAGAGGGTCTTCAGGCCTTTTGTTCATAGGGTCGCTGTGAGTCGTGCTCAACTCAAACGCAAACAACAACAACACCCAAACATAAAGCTTATGGTCTATTCAATAATTATGTTAACTTTTAGAAAGCAAACCTCAAATTTTATGGAAAAAATCTTTCATTATGGAAATCTTATAAAAACTGAAAATGGGTGTGCACACCATTATGTCCCTGTAGCTGCTTGGCTTTAAAAAAATTTAATGACTCCATAACATAATACACTTCAAGTGAATCAAAATAATCAAACCATGTCATGTAAGGACAAAGTTTTTAAATCTCTGAGGTCCAGCAATATTCAAAAATGCCTTCTGAGCCACCAGTTAAAAATGGTATGATATTCTACCTAGATAAGCTTTTCTTATTCCAGCTCATTGAAATCAGTAATCACTAATCATTTGCTTACAAACCTCTTCAGTTAATCAAAATATGCTAGTCTGTACCTTCTGAGTAAAGAATTGTTTTCCAAATTTGAGAGATCAAGTTCAGCAAAGTCTACTCCAATGAAGCTTCATTCTATTGCCTTCCCTTGTTGAATGTGCAGATTGGAGACATCGTGAAGAAAGGTTCAACGAATGACTTGTTTCTTCACTATATCTTCATGGACAACGCCTTTGAGCTCCCCACTGGAGCGGGACTGCAATTGCAAGTATCCTCATCTGGACTCATCACTCCTGGAATCAGGGCTGGAGTAAAACTTGAAGTAGCCAATGTAAGGCGTTGTTCACTTTTTCTTTCCAGAAATGGTTCTTTTGCTCCAGGATGAATTTCTAGTGCATTTGTAAAATTTCTTTCTAGCTCAAGGCAAAGTGTATCATTATTGTAATCACCTTATTTCTAAGGCAGATGCTAAGATTCCCCTATGATGCTCTACTAGCTGCGGTGTGATAGGGAAGTTGTGCTAAAACTCAGCATTTCTATCAAGAAATGAGATTTCTGGCCGTCTTTTTCTCTATGTTATACTTCAAGTTCCCTTGGGTTTTCCCATGTAGCCTGGCTCTGGGAAACTGAGAACTTAGCTTTTCTTTCTCCAACAAACCACAATAATGCTTCTTCCTCCCCCCACTTTAAAAAAAAAATTATACTGATTTATTTATAATGTTTGAATACATTGTTTTACACACAAGATATTAAAATAATGCTTCTTGAGGTGTGAGTCATCCAGAGTTGTTTGCTCAGGGATGAGAAAGGGTGGTTAATCTGGCTCTCAAGGGACTATGATAGTAAACAAAACTGGAAAGTTCTTTTCTGATTCGCAGATGCAGGCTGAGCTGGTGGCAGAGCCTTCTGTGTCAGTGGAGTTTGTGACAAGTCTGAGCATCATCATTCCAGACTTTGCTAAGAGTGGGGTCCAAGTAAACACCAACTTCTACCATGAGTCAGGCCTGGAGACTCATGTCACCCTGAAGGCTGGGCAGCTGAAGTTCAGTGTTCCTGCTCCAAAGACGGCAGTCAGACTGTTCAGTGGCAGGTAATTCTTTCAGTGAAATCCATCTGTTTAACCAATTTGAAAAAGAGGAAGTTGAGATTGTATCCACAAGATTTGACTAGGTTGGCCCAGGGGTAATAAACCGGGCTGCAATCCCTGATGCATTAAGCTCAAATCCACCAGGCACTCTGCAGGAGAAGGAAGGGCAATCTCCTCCCGAGTGATGAAAAGTCTCTGGAAAACCTGCTGGAGAGTCAGCTATGGTTTGGTCTGACTCGATGGTACACAATAGCGAGCTATTAAGATCACTAAGGCCACAGTGGATTTGTGGTTTTCTAGATGACCTCTTTTAACCTCGACTGTTGTTGTTATGTACTGTCAAGTAGGAACCCACTCACAGATGACTCTCCAGCAGATTTTCAGAGGCAGTAAATCATATGACAGGAGATTGCTCATCTTTGTCCTGCAGAGTTAGCTTGGTGGATTTGAACTGTATGCCTTCAGGTTGGCAATGCAGTTCCTTTCCATTAAGCCACCAGAGCTCCCTAACCTAGACTGTTGTTGTTATTATGTGCCATTGATTCAGTGCTGACCCATAGCTGACCCGCTGAGGGAGTAAATCGTGCGGGAGTTGATTGTCCATCTTTCTCCCATGGAACAACTGGTGGTGGATTCAAACCACGAATCTTCCACTGGCAGTGGAATTCCTTCCTGCTAAGCTACCAGCACTCCCTAGTGTGTGGTAATTAGGAAAAGCTTTCTAAGCAAAGTGCAACTTAAACTAATGTCTGACGGCTGTGTCAGAGTCAAAAAAGAAAAGAATGTTCCAGGAAAAGGGAAAAGCTTGGGTAATGGCCTGCAGAAAAAAAGAATATGGTTAAAGGAAACTTTCCAGTTTTCTCTAGGGATTGCTGCTAACAAACACTCAAAAATTTAGTATAATGTCTGAAGCACCGTGGCTAAGACTGTAAGTCTTAATGTGATTCCATCAGAGGCACGTCTAAGGTACAGCAGGTGTGGCACACGCCCTGGGCATCACTTGAAGAGGGTGCCACTAAGCAGTTTCTATTAGCCATCAGAGTTTCCATAATTGATCATGAGAGATCACTCAGCAATTTAAAACTTATAGTTTTGCTATAAAATGAGCCTTTATGGTTCAAGGCAGACTGTGTGATCTGAGCATAAAAAAGGAAGAAACCGAAAAACAGACAAAATTACTTAGAGGAAACTGTAGATTAATTTTCATCAGTGAAAACAAGGAGGTGTAGTTTAATTTTCAAGTGGTATCAGACTGTGTTAAGATTAATGAGCTTGACTTAAATGTTTTCAGTTGATACTATGATAAAGTTGTTTAAAAGAGAGGTGTCAGATGTTTGGATAGAGGTAAAAATTTGGTGCTTACCATAGATAATTTGTTTTTGTAGCTGTGCCTCTCGATTCTTTGCATTAGTATTCTTTATTTCTCAATAAATCAATTATTTCAAAATGGGTATGAACAAAGGGGAGACAAACAGGAGGATAAGATGTCTTTGCCAGGGAAATCAGTGATATTTATTTGGAGTCATAACTTGAAGATAACACTGGTTTGTTTTCTTTCTTCTTCAGCAACACACTGCATTTGATTTCTACCGCCAAAACGGAAGAGATTCTGCCTCGGGCTGAGAACAGACAACAGTGGTCAAATTGCAAGCCTTTCTTTGTTGGTTTGAACTACTGCACCAGTGGCGCTTACTCCAACGCCAGCTCCACAGACTCTGCCTCCTACTATCCGCTGACAGGGGACACCAGGTCAGGCTATATGATCAGATCCTTCAACTTACCCATTTCCATGATAAGGCCACCAAGCAGGACAAAGGAAAAGTGCTATGTGTTTGTAGGCCTCTGTCAGTCCGGGGTATAGACCATCTTCTTATTTCTTAGGTTAAAAATGTACACTCTTTATTAGGAGTTAGGGGTATGGAGCAAGCTCTAGGCAGAGAACTGAAGGTTTATTTGGGGTTTTATTTAAGGATATGTTATTTTTTTTTAATTTTATTAGTTTGAATACAAAATTTTTATACATTGTATTTCATCCATATTGTGTTTCATACACTCATTTCCACACATTGCATTTTATAAAACCAATTGCCATGGAGATATACCCACTATCACCTTGTCTTTTCAGGTCCTCATTGAATCTTTCCTAATTCTGGCACTCCCTCCCTCCACCCACCAAACTCTGTGAGCCCTTGATTTCCCTCCTTCCCACCCTCAGCACTCCTGCCCTCCCTCCTTCCCCCTTCAGACTTTTATACACATCATACTAGTTATTCTTCCACTTTTACAATCATGTTCTTCTTCCATATTTGTCCTTTTGAGACTGAGTTAGTTTACTCGGTATAATGGTCTATAGTCTATTCCATGCTTAGAAACATTTTTCGAAATCGTTGCTCCTGGGTCCTGCCTAGTATTCCATTTTGTGAATGTATCACAATTTCTCAATCTTTTCATTTGTTGATGGACATTTAGGTTGTTTCCATTTTCTTGCTGTTATGAGTCACACTGCTATGGATATCTGTGTCTCAGTTCTATTTTCCTCAGGGTATATGCCTAACAGTGGAATAGTTGGCTCATAGAGAATTCGATAACAAGTAGTGGGCTTTTATCCCAACACATCTATAATATGTTCACACTCCTACCAAAACTTTGACTCTACTAGAGACCAGGTTTTGTCACAGATGAGGGAGGGTAAGAGGTTGGCTAAGACTTGAAGGTGATTATGACTGCTAGGAGTGTCTGTAGCTCAAAAAGATAACCCGCGGTGATGCTGTTCTACTCCTTTGAAGGAACTACACCCATCATGGTAGAAAATCACTTCTTTAAGAGCATCTACTTGTAGATGGTGTCCCCTCTTTTTCTACCTTAAGCATTAAGTTAGGACATTATAGTACAGATTCCAGTTTGCTCATAATTCAATGCCTGCGGTTCTGACATTGGACATGATAGTGTGGCCTTTGCTTGAGCTCCCTGATGTGCTGGTTTACTTAAGGGCTTACTGCAGTTTTCATATTCCCTTCATTTCTACTGCTTGGTCTGGGCTTTGCTGACATAATCAACCAACACCTTGTCTAAAACGTCCTGGGAATCCTAAGGCTTGTTCTTACCCAAGGCTCTTGAAGGGGCTTAAAGATGATCGTTAGCTAAGGCCCAGAGGCAATGTGAAAAATAAGATCCATATTTTTGCTGTCGTTGACGTTCAGTGGTTTTGGGGATAGTTGAACCCTCTAACATTGTGGCTGTATTATCTCACATTTAGATTTGACCTGGAGCTGAGGCCAACTGGAGAGGTAGAGAGGTATTCTGTGAGTGCAACCTATGAACTCCTGAGGGAAGGCACTGCCTTGGTGGATTCCCTGAAGTTTGTAACTCAGGCAGAACGTAAGTATCCAAAAAGAAGAGCACTCCCATTGCCGCCCTCAGGCTCAGGACTCACAGGAGTTTAATTATTTCAGCAAATACAGACTGAGTGTGTGAGAAATTGTCATTCTAAGGTCGGAGGCTGGCACAGTGAACAGCAAAGTGTTTGTCACATATCTATATATATCTATCTCTATCTCTATATAGCTATATCTATACTAGTCAATTTATAAAATTCAAATACATTGCTTTCCAGAACAGATTCTGCCAACTTCCCTCACCTCTCCACCGATCAAACTGTACTGCCCCATGATTAATCTCCCCTCCTCCTGCACATCCTCACCCCTCTGCTTTCTTCCCCTGCCTTGTATCCTTATACTCATTCTACAATAATGGTTTTATACAATATTTATCTTGTGAAACTGAGTTATTTCATTCTGCATAACACTCTCCAGTCCCTCTCAATCCAGATAACAATTTGCAAGTAAGTATTCAGAATAGCAAATATAGAAGGACAAGGTATAAGGACTGACAGGAGTTGATGGAGGATGAAGAAAAGGTAGAACTATTTGGAACAAAGGAAAAAACTATACTGCTCAGCTGAGCATTGAAAAGAGAAAGGAAGCTCTCAAGGGAGTAAAGTCTATGGGAAAGAATGTCCTGGCTAAGTTAATAGATACAAAGACCTTGGGGCCGGCATGTGGTTGCCATGTCTGAGGAAATGGAAGGAGGCTAATATGGTGGAAACGGAATGATTAGGGAGGGAAATGATAGGGGTAAAGTCAGAAAGAAAAACCAGAGAAAAGGATTTTTTAGGTGGTCATGGTAAGAAACTTGGTTTTAACGATTAATGAAATAAGAAGCCAGTGGCAGGTTTTCATGGTTTATATTTATGCTGAGGAAGATTATAGGAGTAGAGAGACTAGCAGATGGTGATTGAATTAGAGAGGTGGCAGAGGAAATGTGAGAAACTGGCAGTTTTGGGCCATATTTTCAAGATTTAGATGAGGTTCACTGCTATATCTGACATTAAGTGTAAAGAAATCAGGACAACTCCCAATTTTGTGACTTGGGCAACTTAAGAATGGACTTACTTGCCAGTGTCTGAAACAGACAAGACTACTAGAAAGGAGAATTTTGGGGGATAAGCAAACTCAGGGGCTTTACTTTGGAAAAATTTTTATGCATGGACAGTATGGCATACTACAACAAAAAAGGGAGAGTCTATATAGAAAGAAAATTGTTATTTATTTTATAATAGACATAAGTAAGATGGAACAGTCTAGGAACTGAAGAAAGCCTGGACATATTCTTTTACAAAGAAATGATGCTTTTGGTAAGGGGAAATTAAGCCGAGAGTGAACAGAATCCAAGTCGGAACACTTGGATAAGAGTAATACAGAGACATGCCTGCTTTGCTTACTGTGTCCCACACACACCAAGTTTTCCCACAGCAGGACTTACCTGGAAGGCTCTCCCCCACATACCTGTGTGCTCACTCAGCCCTTTCTTCATTCAGGTCTCTGTCTTTACAACCCCTTGTTAGGGAGAACTTCTCTAAATATAAAATAGCACTTCTTCCATTGTCACTTTCTTTCCTATCTCCCCATCCAGTTTTAGTTTTATGCATAACCTCTTTCATGATCTGATATCATTTCTTAGCTGTTGCCTGCACATCTCGCCCCACTAAAAGTCATCCATAAGGGCCAGAATCCCCCAGTGTCAAGAGACTGTACCTAGCACAAAATAGGCTATTGAGAAATATTTGTAGATTGAGAAAATGTATAAAACACCAAGTAGTCAGAAATATAAGGTAAAATTTGGAGGGGTTTCCTCTTTTAAACTGATCAGGCATTTGTAGGCTTGCTGTCTTTTTCTGCCCTTCTTCCCAAACATGTTGTTGTTGTTGTTGTTATGTGCCATCGAGTTGCTTGCAACTCATAGCGACCCTATGTACAACAGCCCTAAACTCTGCTCTATCCTGTGCCAATCGCACTGTCTCTGACACTCCAATCCCGATTACCCCAGTCACTGAATCAATCCACCTCATAGAGGGTCTTCCCCTCTTGTGCCGTCCCTCCACCCTCCCAAGCATGATGTCCCTCTCCAAGGACCTGTCCCTCCTTACAACATGTCCAAAATATGTCAGATGAAGCCCCAGAATCCTTGCCTCCAAGGAGCAGCCTCCTTGGAGGCTTTCTAGGATGAGTCTGTTTGTTTTCTTGGCAGTCCAGGGTACATTCAATGCTCTTCTCCAGCACCACAGCTCAAAGACATCAATTCTCCTTCTATCCTCCCTAGTCATTGTCCAACTCTCTGATGCATAACAAGTGATTGCAAAGACCATGGCCTCTATTAGAAGCACCTTAGTCTCCAGAGTGACACCACTGCTCTTCAGTACCCTGGAGAGGTCCCTAACAGCAGACTTTCCCATCACAATATGTTGGTTTTTTTTATGTCCTGGCTACTAGTGCCAAGAGTGTTGACCGTGGAGCCGAGCCGACTAAAGGTGTTAATAATCTCAGTCTCTTCACCATCCATCCTAATGCTGCCAGTTGGTCCAGTGCTGAGAACCTATTCCAAATATAGCTTCTTTAATATATGTTTCTGGGTGCTCTTGTGCACTGTTTCAGATCTGGTTCAGACTGAGATGGCTGTGGTGTTCAAATATAACCGAGAGAGTGTGGCTTTGACTGGTGAAATCCTAAGTCCATATTCAGAGGTTGACCTTGGAGCATTTCTCAGAGTCAGTGATGAATCGACTGAAGAAAACAAGTCCTACAAGCTCACCTTGGACATTCAGAATCAGAAAATCACTGAAATCATGCTCACTGGCCATGTGAGGTAAGGAGGATGCGAAGAGCGCTTTCCTGAGCTATTCTTTCCCTCTTCTTCCTCATTGGCTTCTTCAGTCACCAGGGCTGCTTTTCACGGAGCCCACAGCTTTTGACCTTCCACATTTGTCCAGCCATTTATTGAGCATTTACTATTCAGAAGACACTGTGCTAGGTACTTTAAAGAAAGTATCTGCTTTCACACGAACCTACAAGACAGAATAAACTGTGTCTATTTGACATAAAAAAATTAGCTCAGATAGCTCAGATGGGTTCAATAACTTGACCAAAGCAATGCTGTTAACTGCTGTTGAGTCAGCCCCAGCTCATGAAATGTAAAGAAACTCTTGCTGGCCAGGGCATGATATGGATCATACATGGAAATTCGTAGGATTTTTACTGACTACTTCTTAGAGGTAAATCTGTAGGCCTTTCATATTAGCTCATATTAATCTATAAACTCCACTGAAATCTGTTCGCTATCAGAGCAACACACAAGCTTCCAGAAAGGTAATGACTTTGCGTGAAGTTAATTGCTAATTAGCTGGATGTTAAACCTGAGTTTCCCCACATGAAAGGTGAAAATTCTACTAGTGCTTCATGGCTGTGACAGTAGAGCTAGCAAATAGGAGTTAACCTGACATCGGGGTTGGGGTAAGACTGAGAAAAACTGGATCAATTTTGTATACTGCATTGAAACAGATGAGGGAGAGAACAGTTTAAAAGCGATATATGATAGGGTGTTAGGGTTAGCACAAGAGTCCAGAATGGAGGTTGAATGGTGAAGTACTCGGGGCGGAGGGAATGTACACCAGTGAAGGAATTTTTCCTTTTACTTTCAAAGAGAAGAGCGAACTGGAGGGGAGGGGTGGGCAGAGAGAAAAGTGCAACAATATATGAATGGAAATCCAAAAATCTCTGTAAATGTTCATTAAAATTAATAAAATAACATTTAAAAAACCCAACTTCTCTCCCACGTTACCCTCTGTACATTCCTGGGAAGTCCTGAATTTATGCTCAATGTTGTCTCTAGAAGCTAATAAGTATGGCTTTTGGTAATTTCTCTAAACCCTGATCCAGTTTTTATTACCATAAATGAAACTTCTGCTTAAACCTGCCTATCTCCTAGATAGGAGATCATCCCTGCACAAATTGGTTGATGCCAACTGATTTTCTTTTCAACAGTCATAATGCTAAAGATGAAGGCAAAGTCAAAGGCATTATTTCCATCCCCCGTTTGCAAGCAGAAGCCAGAAGTGAGATCTTCACCCATTGGTGTCCCTCAAAACTCCTCCTCCAAATGGACTCCTCTGCCACAGCTTATGGCTCAACAATTTCCAAGAAGTTGGCCTTGCACTATGGTATGTTCCTTTCACCCCATTAAGGCCTCCAAGGCCACTGTACCCCAGAGTGTAGGTACTGAAAACCATTCATTAAGAGCCGATCTGGCACCATTTAAAACTATTTCGTGTGTGCATTTTTCAGATGAAAAGAAGATGGTATTTGAATGGAATGCTGGCACCAATGTGGATACCAAAAAAGTGGCTGCAAATTTCCCTGTGGATCTCTCTCATATTCCTGAAAGCTTGAATACGTATGCCAACAGCCTCTTGGATTACAGAATCCCTCAAACAGATATGACATTCCGGCACATGGGTTCCAAATTAATAGTTGTAAGTAGAAGTCAGCCAGTATCTAAATATATGGTTATAAGTACTCATTGCATCCTTAATCCTGACTCAGGTGTAGATGGCCATCCAAAGATGTATAAGGCACACTTCCAGGGGGGATAAAAAAGGAATATCTATGTTTGCATATAAGTACCTAGTAAGTAAAACTGTATGTGATGAATATTATTAATAAGAATAATGTACTGTGCCTAAAGATAATAAGGAAAGATTCTGGTACTGTCTAGGACTCTGTCTATGCTCTATGTTCATATAAAAGAAAAAGAGTCAGACTCCTTCTAAATCGTAAGGTGTACCTGATGCAGGCCATGGTCTTTGCAATCACTTGTTATGCATCAGAAAGCTGTACAATGACTAGGGATGATAGAAGGAAAATTGATGCTATTGAGTTCTGGTGTTGGAGGAGAGCATTGAATATACCATGGACTGCTAGGAGAACAAACAATGTCATTCTGGAGAGGATTAAACCAGGCTGCTCCTTGGAGGCAAGGATTTTGAAGCTTTGTCTGACATACGCTGGGCATGTTGCAAGGAGGGATCAGTCCTTAAAGAGGGATGTCATGCTTGGGAGTAAGGCGGGACAGCATAGGTGAGGAAGACCCTTGATGAAATGGACTGATTCAGTGACTGGGGTAATGGGGGTAGGTGTATAAGAGACAATAAGGTTGGTACAGGATAGAGCAAGGTTTAGGGCTGTTGTACATAGAGTCTCTATGGGTCACAGGTGACTCAATGACACATAACAACAACAACAACAACATTTTCTGTGATTTTACTTTGGGTGCTTTTGTTGTGCAGAATAACTGACCTGTAAAATACAGATTATTCATTCCCTAATGTTATAGTTCTTTGAGGTTTAACTGTGTCTGTTTCTCTAAAAATTTATCTTGTTTTGTAGGCAACAAATACATGGCTTCAGAAGGCATCTAGCAAGCTTCCTTTTGCTCAGGCTTTGCAAGATCACCTTAGTGACCTAAAAGAGATAAACCTACAGAAAATGGGCTTGCCAGAGTTCCACATGCCAGAAAACCTATTCTTGAAAAGGTACAAAAAACAAAAAAGAGAGAGAGAGACAGACAGACAGACAGACAGAAACTTTCATTGAAATATGAGAAGCATACGGAAGATTTTACTTTGCCATGCTTTCCCCTTTAAAAAAAAACACTCAAAACCACATCTTTTTAAGGAAAACAATTTAATGTTAAAGAACACAACTGGAGGATTCTAGTTCCTCCTATCTTTCCCTCTCATTGCCCTTGAATCAGTTGTAACTCATAGCTTACCCTTCAGTGGGTGTCCAAGGCTGTAAATAGCACAGGAGGGCACTGTCCATCTTACTCCTGCTTAGTGACTGGTGGATTCAAATTACCAGAGAAGTGCAACCTTTGTGTTAGCAGTGTAACTGCCTACAAGAGCTGCTTCCTGGTACTTTAATGTTTAGATATTTTCTTGATAGCAGCCATCATTTTCACCAGCAAACTGAACTCGAATACATTCCATTTCCTTCTACCATAAGTGAACTTACTCTTCATTCAGGATTAAGGTAATCTTTGAAGAATTTCTGGATAGAGAGTTTGCTCCAGTTCGAACTCACCAAGGCAGAAAGACAGTCCATCTCCCTCCTTTAGGGATTTACAGCCTCTAAAAATCCATTGAAGTGTCAGCTATGAGTTGGTTCTGAATGGATGGCAATGAGTTGAGCTGACTGAGGTATTATCAACTACAAGGCTCCTGTTGAGCTATAGGATGTCAGAAGAACTTCAGTTAAGCTTTGACTAAAGACAGCATTTTAAGAGTGTATGTGAGTTTAGCAGTTTACTCTGACTCATTAAAGGTAAGTCAGCTTCCAAACTCTTCTGTCAATTTTTATATTTGCAGAAATGTAGGTAGTCTTTTGATTTCTTTATTTCATGAAAATGTTGAAAAACCAAAGCATGAGCTGAAGAGTCTTTTTCTAGACTGATTGCTCTCCATAGTATTTTCAAGGCTAAGAAAACACAGAGCCTGGGTTGCCTGAGCCTTCAAGTATTTTATGGTTAGCAAAGACTAGCAGGAAAAATGAACATGAAAAGCCTAAAATCAGCCAAAGCCCTCAGCTCAGAGACAAAGCTCACTGAGCATGAAAGAAAACCTAGCAGGTCAGGAACCTTCCTATACTAGGTGCTTCAGACCCCCTTCAAAGGCTAGAAATGCAGGAAGACAAGACCTCAGACTCAGACAAGTCCTCCAAGATTTTCAATGGATGCTGTTGCTGAATGTTGGTGTCTTAAATAGGTGGATTCTAGACTCTGTTGTGGCAAAACAATGAACAAGAGTTTTATTTGCCTACAGCCTTTAAACTCTAATATTCTTACTGTATTCTTCTTAGCTGTCACAATGGTCCTAACAGGACTGAAAAGATTCTAAAGCACTTGTAGGTGTTTTTTTCTCTTTTGCTATCCAAGGCCAATTCTGTGAGGACAGCAGAAAGAATGTTATTTTCTCTGCTATATAGATAACATCCCTGAGACTCAGAGAGGTAAGCTTGCTAAGGTGGCATAGACAATTGACAAAAGAATAAAACTATAATCCAAGTGTGTGGCTTGTTGTTAAGAAGCTACACCGCAACCCCAACTGCTGTTTGAATCCACCAGCTGCTCAGTGGCAGAAAGATAAGTAATCTCCTTTCATGCAATTAACTAAAATCCCGCTGGAGGATCAGCACTCGACAGCACACATCAACAACATTTCACATATCTAGTTGTCTCAATTCATTTTTTGAGTATTCGTCACCAAGTGTCTCCATATTCAAGATAATAGATTCCATTCAATGAAAAGCTAGAGACTGGCTAAGGTATGGATAGTTCTTTCTTCCAGATAAATAATTTTGTGTAGACACTGACAAATGAATAAACATTAATTATATGAGTAAATGATGCATTTTTAGACCACAAATATAAAGGAATATAATTATAGATGACCCTCTAGCAGGTTTTCAGAAGCAGTTCATCTCACAGAAGGAAATTGCCCATCCTTCTCCTGAGGAGCAGCTGGTGGCCTCGAATCCTGTGTCTTCAGGATTTCAGCACAGCTTCTTGCTGCTTGGCCAGCAGAACTCCTTAAGCAGCAGCTCTTTTTTTTTTTTTTATGGAGCACTCATTTTATTTCTTACCATTATTTTTTTAAATAATTTTAATGAGCATTTACAGAGATTTTTTTATTTTATTATTTTTGTGTGAGTGTAGCATCAAATCAGATCTGACTGGTACAGGAGGAGATTGTCCCTCCTTCCCCGGCAGAGCATCTGGTGGATTTGAACCGTGCACCTCTGGGATTGTAGTTGCAGCTCCTTGCCACTAGGCCACCAGAGCTCCCCATTTACAGAGATTTTGGATTTCCATTCATTCATTGCTGCACTTCTCTCCCCACCCCCCTCTAGTTCGCTCCTCTCTTTCAAAAGTAAAAGAAACACTCCTTCCCTGGTACACAATCCCCCCGCACCCCTCCCGCCTCCCCAAGTACACTCCACTATGCAACCTTAATTGTGGACTCTTGTGATAACCATAATACCCTGTCATACATCGCTTTTAAATTATTCTCTCCCTCATCCATTTCAGTGCAGTATACACAATGTATCCAGTTTTTCTCAGTCTTACTACAACCCTGATATCAATCCCATTTTACAACAGTGGCACCATGCTCTTTAAAGGGTTTTTGAAGGGTTTGAGTGTTTATGGCAGGAAGAGGCAACAATAAAGGGATTCTAGGGGCAGGGAGTAGCATTAGGTAAAGCATAGTGTGGATTCTGGAATGGTACTTGTTGATATTGCTTGGAAGAGCAGACAGCTGAGTCCCTGATATCTGATATGAGAATGTCTTTGTTGTTCTTTTCAGTGATGGCCAGGTCAAATATACCTTCAACAAGAACAGTGTAAAAATTGAGATTCCTCTGCCTTTTGGTGGCAAATCCTCCAAAGATTTAAGGATCATACAGACTGTTTGGACACCAGCCCTCGATTTCAAGTCTGTGGGGTTCAATCTGCCATCTCAAGAGTTCCAGATCCCCACTTTTACCATTCCCAATTCGGTTAAACTGCGGGTGCCTCTCTTGGGTGTTTTGGACCTGTCCACAAACGTGTACAGCAATGTGTATAACTGGTCAGCTTCGTACACTGGTGGCAACATGACCACAGACGACTTCGTCCTGAAGGCCTACTACAGCATGAAGGCCAACTCTGTAGTTGACTTCCTCTCCTACAGTGTACAAGGTGAGCCATATTCATTCCTTCCAGAGTTCTACAGCGTAGGCTGGAGTTATTAATATTATCATTGGCACGGAGTTGGGACTAACTCAAAGCTGACGCCCCAATTGGATTCCAGGGCTGTAAAGAGTACAAGAAGAGACTTCCTATTCTTTCTCTGCTGGTAGATTCGAACCAGCAGAGAGGTCGAGCATTGAGGTGGCAGTGCAACTCCCTACAAGCTATGTCACCAGAGCTCTCTGAATTTTAGGTCAAGTAGACTATTTCATGGCTTTATTATAACTCAAAGACATTTGCAATATGGATTATCCTGAGAATTTATGACTTAATATAACCATTGCCTTTTGATTTTTCTTAGGATCAGGAGAAGCAACCTATGACAACTGGAACACGATCTTATTATCATGTGCTGGATCCCTGCAACACAAATTTCTGGATTCAAATATCGAATTCAGTCATGTGGAAAAATACGGAAATAACCCAGCCTCAAAATGTTTATTAACATTTGATACATCTAGTCCCTGGGGACCACAAATGTCAGCCTTTGCATATTTGGAAACACAAAAGAAACAGCACCTGCATGTCAGGGAAGCCAAAGTGATTGGGGAGTTCGGAACCTCTTCACTCTATACAAAAGGCATTTGGGACCTGTCTCTTGAGAAGGATCTTAATACAGGCCAGCTAAATGGAGAGTCCAGCCTGATATTTAACTCCACCTACCTCCATGGAAGCAATCAGATAACAGGAAAGTATGAAGATGGTATAGTCACCATCCTCTCCACCTCTGATCTCCAAGATGGCCTCCTTAAAAATACAGCTTCCCTGAAATATGAGAACTACCTGCTGATTCTGAAATCTGATACTAATGGGAAGTACAAAGACTTCACCACTTCTCACAAGGTGGATCTGACCTTCTCTAAGCAAGATGCATTGCTACGTTCTGAGTACCAGGCAGATTACAAGGCACTAAGGTTCTTCACCTTGCTTTCTGCCTCTCTCAGTTCTCATGGTCTTGAACTGAATGCTGACATCATGGGCACTGACAAAATGAACAGTGGTGCTCACAAAGCAACCCTAAGAATTGGCCGTGGTGGAATGTCAACCAGTTCAACAACTAACCTGAGGTACAACCCTCTAGTGCTGGAGAATGAGCTGAATGCAGAGGTTGACCTCTCTGGAGCATCAATGAAGTTAATAACAAACGGCCGCTTCAGGGAACACAATGCAAAGCTCAATCTAGATGGAAAAGCCTCTCTCACAGAGCTGTCCTTGGGTAGTGCCTATCAGGCCTTGATTCTAGGTGTTGACAGCAAACATATTTTCACCTTCAAGATCAACCAAGAGGGGCTTAAACTTACAAATGATGTGATGGGATCATATAAAGACATGAAACTTGACTACACAAACAGTCTCAACATTGCAGGCTTATCTCTAGGTTTCTCTTCAAAACTTGGCAACGTTTATAGCCCTGACAAATTTTATAAGCAACTTTTCAATTTTCAGCTTCAGCCCTACTCCCTTGTAGCTACTTTAAACAATGACCTGAAATACAATGCTCTGGATCTGACCAATAACGGGAAATTACGGCTAGAACCTCTGAAGCTCAGTATGGGTGGTAACATAAAAGGATCTTACCAAAACAATGAGATAAAGCATATCTACACTATTTCGTATGGTGACTTAACAGGCAATTATAAAGCAGACACAGTAGCTAAGTATCAAGATGTAGAGTTTAACCATCGGCTCAACACAGACATTTCTGGGCTGGCATTAGCTGTTGACATCAATACAAACTATAATTCCGAATCATTACATTTAAGCAATGTTTTCCACTCTGCAATGGCACCATTTACAATGACTATCGATACCCATACAAATGGCAACGGGAAACTAGTTCTCTGGGGGGAACATATTGGACAGCTATATAACAAATTCCAGTTGAAAGCAAAACCTCTGGCACTTACCTTTTCTCATGATTACAAAGGAGTCACAAATCACCGTCTCACATCCAAAAGAGACATCGACACCTCTCTTGATCACAAAGTCAGTGTCCTGCTTACTCCAACGGAACAAAGAAGTACCTGGAAACTGAAGACGACGGTGAATAAAAATGAGTACAGCCAGGACTTTGACGCTTACAACATTAAAGACAAAGTAGGCATGGAGTTTAACGGGTACGCCCTAGCTGACCTCACTGTGCTAGATTCACCAATTGCAGTGTCCTTTCTACACAGTGAGCCAATTAATCTAATTGATGCTTTAGAAATAAGAGATGTTGCTGTCCAGCCACAAGAATTCAGAATTGTTGCTTCTGTGGAGTATGATAAGAACCAAGATGTTCACACAATCAACCTCCCGTTCCTGGAAATGGTGCCAGAATATTCTGAAAAAAATCGAAAAGCAATTTTAGCTGTATTGGAGAGCATACAGAGAGAACTGAAGCGCATCAATATTAATCAACTTGCAAGGAAATACCGAACAGCTCTGGACAGAGTCCCACAACAAGTTAATGACTATCTGAATACATTCAACTGGGAGGCACAAGTTGCAAATGCTAAGGAGAAGCTAACTGCTTTCATGAAAAATTACAAGATTACAGTAAATGATCTACAAATTGCATTGGAGGAGGCCAAAATCAACTTGAATGAAAAACTCTCTCAACTTGAGACATATGTGATACAATTTGATCAGTATATTAAAGATAATTATGATGTAGGTGATTTAAGACTAGCTATTGATAAGATTATTGATCGAATCATTGAAAAATTAAAAATCCTTGATGAACATTATCATATCCGTGTAAACTTAATAAAATCCATCCACTATATATATATTTTGATTGAAAATGTTGATTTTAAAAAAACAGGAAGTAGCACTATATCTTGGATAGAAAATGTCGATGCTAAATATCAACTCAGAATGCAGATAAAAGAAAAATTGCAACAGCTCATGACACAGATTCAGAGTACAGAGCTCCAACATCTTGCTGAAAAGTTAAAACAACATGTTGAGAGTATTGATATCAGAGTGCTTTTAAATCAGTTAAGAACTGCAATTAAGATTCAGGAAGTAAAGGACATTATTAAGTACATAAAAGACCTTCTTGTAAATCTTATTGAAGATTTTAAAATAACTGAGATCATTAATGCTTCTAGAGCCCAAGTCCATGAGCTAATTAAGGAATATGATGTAGACCAAAAAATACAGCTACTAATGGATAAATCAGTACAGTTGGCCCACCAGTTTAAGTTAAAGGAGATGCTTCAGATGCTAAGCAGGGGCCTAAAACAAGTTGAAATGAAGGTTTACTTGGAGAGATTGGTTGAGTGGATTGATGATAACATCAAAAAGCTTAAAGCCCTGGACTTGGAAAATTTTATGAGAGAAGTAAATAGACTCCTTAACATGTTGGTAAAGAAATTAAGGTCATTTAATTATAACCAGTTTGTGGATGAAACCAATAACAAAATCCGTGAGGTGACTCAAAGAATCAATAGTAAAATCCAGGCACTAGAGCTCCCACAGAAAGCTGAAGCCTTAAAATCCTTTGCAGAAGAAGTCAGACAGATGACCATAGTCTATATGGATGATCTAAAGAACACTAAAATCATCTTATTCCTTGATGGGCTACAAGATACTTTTGGTCCATTAACATTAACTGCCCTGAAAGACAAATTCCATGAGACTCTAGAAGACATTAGAGACCGAATGTATCAAATGGACATTCAACAGGAACTCCAGAGATACCTCTCTCTGATAAGCCAGGTTTATCACACCCTCGTCATGTATGTTTCAGATTGGTGGATTCTTGCTGATAAGAACCTTACTGATTTTGCTGAACAATATTCTCTCCAAGACTGGGCTGAAAGTGTAAAAAAACTTGTGGAAGAGGGCTTCACAGTCCCTAAAATTCAGACTATGTTTGGGACCATGCCTGCCTTTGAAGTGAGTCTTCGTGTTCTGAAAAAAGCCACATTTCACACTCCTGATTTCATAGTCCCCCTGACAGATTTAAGAGTTCCATCAGTAGAGATAAACTTCAAAATACTGAAAAATGTCAAAATCCCATCCAGGTTTACCACACCAGAATTTACTGTCCTCAATACCTTCCACATTCCTTCTTTTACAATTGACTTGGTAGAAATTAAAGTAAAGATTATCAGAACCATTGACCAAATGATGAGCAGTGAGCTGCAATGGCCAGTTCCAGAAGTGTACTTTTGGGATCTGAAGGTGAATGACACCCTTCTTGCTAAAATTTCTCTGCCAGATTTCTCTTTTCCAGAACTCAAAATTTCTGAATTTGTAATTCCAAATCTCAACCTTAAAGATTTTGAAGTTACTGAACTGGACATACCAGAATTCCAGCTTCCCCACATCTCTCACACAATCCAAGTACCTACTTTTGGCAAGCTGTATGGTGATTTGAAAATACAGTCTCCACTTTTGACACTACACACAAATGCTGCCATTCAGAATATGACCACTTCAGTGAACAAGACTGAGATTGTGGCTTCCTTCACTGCCAAGGGAGAATCTAAATTAGAAGCTCTCAATTTTGATTTCCAAGCAAATGCACAGTTGTCAGACTCTGAAACCGATCCAATGGTTGTGAAGGAATCTGTGATGCTCTCCAGTAAGTACCTGAAGACTGAGCACGCGAGTCAAGTGCTATTTTCTAGAAATGGTATCGAGGGGAAGTCAGACACAGTGGCACGTTTACAGACAGAAAAAAATACAGCGGAGCTTAGTAACAATATGCTTCTCAAAATATACCAGCAGTTTACCCTGGACAGCAACACAAAGTACTTCCACAAATTAAATGTCCCCAAACTGAAATTTTCCAGTCAGGCTGACCTGCACAATCAAATGAATACACTGTTGAAAGGTGGACACATAGAATGGACTTCGTCCGCAACAGGTTCATGGAAATGGGCCAACCCCACATTCTCCGATGAAGGAACACATGAATCACAGATTCTTTTCACTGTGGAAGGGCACACTTCTCTCTTCAACCTATCTAATAAGATCAATAGTAAACACCTCAGAGTTACTCAAAATGTCATTTGTGAATCTGGGTTCTTCAACTTTTCAAAATTTGAAATCCAGTCAAAAGTTGAATCCCAGCATGTAGGCCTTAGTGTGCTAACTGCCAAAGGCACAGCACTGCTTGGCGAGATGAAGGCTGAGGTAGCTGGCAACCATCATGCCAGTTTAAATGGAAGGGTTAATGGAGTGCTGAAAAATTATCATTTCTTTTCTGCACAGCCATTTGAGATTACTGCATCCACAATCAATGAAGGGAATTTGAAAGTTAATTTCCCATTAAAGTTGACAGGAAAGATAGACTTCCTGACTAACTACGCATTGCTTCTGAATCCTCGTGTCCAGCAAGCAAATTGGCAAGCCAGTGCTAGGTTCAATCAGTATAAGTACCATCAAAATTTCTCTGCTAGCAACAATGAGAACAGCATGGAAGCTCATGTTGGCATGAATGGAGAAGCCAATTTGGACTTCTTAAATATTCCTTTGACAATTCCCGAAATGACTCTCCCTTACACAACACTCACAACTCCTCAGCTAAATGATTTCTCCTTGTGGGAAGGAACAGGCTTGAAGGAATTCTTGAAAACAACAAAGCAGTCATTTGATTTAAATGTAAAGGCTCAGTATAAAAAAAACAAAGACAGCCATTCCATCTCAATGCCTTTGGATATGTTTTATGAGTTTGTGAGCCAAAGCAGTAAATCTTTCAACAAGTATTTTGAGAAAGGCAAAGACAAGACATTAAATGTTCTTGCCAAATCCTATAGCAGCCTTCATATCCCTAATAGTCTTCGTAAACTGTCCCTTCCAGAGTTCCAGGTACCAAGAACCTCAAATAACATCATTATTCCAGCCATGGGCAATATCACCTATGATTTTTCCTTTAAATCAAGTGTCATCACATTAAACACGAATGTTGGACTTTATAATCAGTCAGATATTGTCACTCATTTCCTTTCTTCTTCTTCTTCCTGTATCAGTGCATTGCAGTACAAATTAGAGGGCAAGTCAAGCTTGACAAGGAAAAGGGGGTTAAAGTTAGCCACAGCTTTGTCTTTGAGTAACACATTTGTAGAAGGTAGCCATGACAGTACCATTAGCTTAACCAAGAAAAATATAGAAGCATCAGTGACAACAACTGCCAAAGTCCAGATTCCAATCCTGAAAATGAATTTCAAGCAAGAACTCCATGGAAATACCAAGTCAAAGCCTACTGTCTCTTCAGCTGTTGAGTTACAATATGACTTTGACTGCCCCAAACTGTACACTACTGCTAAAGGGGAAGTTGACCATAAGCTTAGCTTAGAAGGCCTCACTTCCTACTTTTCTATTGAATCATCTGGCAAAGGAGATGTCCAGGGTTCAGTCCTTTCACAGAAATATTCAGGGTCTATTGCCAGTGATGTCAATACGTACTTGAATTCCAAGGTCACTCGGTCTTCAGTGAAGCTGCAAGGGGTTTCTAAATTGGATGGCATTTTTAACTTTGAAGTTAAAGAAAATTTTGCTGGAGAAGTCACTCTCCAACGCATATATGCCACCTGGGAACACAATACAAAAAACCTCTTAAGGCTCCAGGGCATCTTTTTAACCTCTGGAGAGCATGCAATCAAATCCACTCTGGAACTCTTTCCATGGGAAATGTCAGCCCTTGTTCAGGTCCGTGCAAGCCAGCCCAGCTCCCTCTTTGATATCCCTTCCTTTGGCCAGGAAGTAGTCCTCAATGCTAACAGTGGACACCAGAAGGTCATCTGGAAAAGTGAGGTCCAAGTCCTTTCTGGAGCAATCCAGAACAATGTACAGCTTTCCAATGACCATGAAGAGGCACGCTTTGAGATGGCAGGATCCTTAGAAGGACACCTGTCATTCCTCAAAGAAATTATCTTGCCAGTTTATGAAAAGAGTTTATGGGATCTCTTGAAGCTGGATGTAACCACCAGTATTGACAAGAGGCAATATCTTCGTGCTTCCACAGCTCTTACATACACCAAAAGCCCCAAAGGTTATTATCTTTCAGTCCCTGTGCAAGAACTAGCCAATGAGTTTATTATCCCTGGCTTGAAACTAAATAATTCAAACTCAGGGCTTGTCATTCCTACATTCCAAGGCCCATTTACAAATCTCCAGGTTCCATTATACACACTTGACTTCAGTGAAATAAGAATCAAGAAGCAATTAAGTACTTTGCCATTTGACCTCAACATGCCAATACTCCCCAAAATAAAATTCCCCAAAGTCGATGTGTTAACAAAGTATACTGGATCAGAGGGCTCCTCAGTTCCCTCTTTTGAGGTAACTGTACCTGCATTTCAGTTAATTGTATCACAATTTACCCTTCCAAAGAGTATTTCAGTTGGCAGTGCTATTTGGGACCTAAATGAGGTAGCCAATAAAATTTCAACCTTGGATTTGCCAACAATCACCATTCCAGAGCAGACTGTTGAGATTCCTTCCATTAAGTTAAAGGTGCCTACTGGAATTTTTATTCCTTCTTTTGGATCACTGACTGCACGTTTTGGAATTGGTTCTCCCCTATATAATACCACATGGAGTGTTGGCTTGAAAAACAAAGACGACCACCTGGAAACATTTCTTGATGCTACGTGTAGCTCAACCTTACAGATCCTGGAATATGATCTAAATGGTAAGGAAATGTTTTGACTTCTATCTTAGATGTTATGTTTCTCAATGAAAATGGAAAGTAAATAATTATTTTTTCTTAAATAAGATTAGAGGCACAATTATTCCCTGTTGAAAAATTGAAATGAATGGGGAGGAGACACATCTATAGCTTGCATGTTCAAAGCCATTCTGTAGAAAATCTAGTCACACTCCTTAAAAAATAGGTACCAAAATATTCGTTTCCATGTAAGAATTTTAAGATGAGTAATGTCTCCTTCAGAGTATTTTTTAAAAAAAATTATAGCCCACATAGTAATGTTTCAAACCTGTGAGGAAAGCACTTGGTTAAAATGGAATCCTTGATGAGATAGATTGACTCAGTGACTGGGGTAATGAGCATAGGTGTGTTAGAGACAGTGAGGTTGGCTCAGGATAGAACAGGGATCAGAGCTGTTGTGCATAGGGTCACTATGAGTCACAAGCGACTCAATGGCACATAACAACTATAACCTCATTATTACAATGAAAATGTCTGTCCTCTACATTTTAAAAGTCTAACAAAATAAGTCTCTCTCTTCTACAGTTATACAAACACTCAAGATAGAGAGTGGCACATTAGTGTGCAAGATCCAAGGAGCATTTTCCCACCGTGACTTCAGTGCAGAATATAAAGAAGATGGCAAATATCAAGGACTTGTGTATGAAAACAACTTTTTTCCAAAACTCATTTTTTTTCTTCATCTTGCTACTCCTTTCCTGATAGCCCATCTACTTTTCTGCTTTCAGGTACTGGGAAGGGGATGCCTACCTCAACATCATCAGCCCAAGGTTCACTGATGTGCAACTGCACTTCCAAGGGGATGAGACTTTCTACTTTGCCTCAGTATCATCCCCCACCGTCGGCACTCTGGTCTTACACTTCAAGGAAGAGCATAAGGATGCTTTAAAAATGGACTTCTACTACCACCCTCCGGTGAGTCCCATTAATAGGTTACACACCCCAAGAGAATTTGGATGAATGCATTTCATTCTCTCAGGACCTTCAAAAACTAAGTGACAGGCTAACAAATGGGTTGAAATTTTTTTTTTTTACTAAAAGAGCATTAAAAATTCTTTTATATTGATTTGCTTATAAAGTTCACATACATTGTGTTTCACGCTATTTTTCATTCACATTGTGTTTTATATGATCATTTGCATTCATAATGTTTTATAAAATTAATCACCATTGGACAATGTCCACTATCACCTGGTCTTTTCAGGTCCCTTCCATATCTTTCCCATTTTCTTTACCCCCTCCCTCCCTCCACCCACCAAATTGTGCAACCCTGTGATTTAGCCCCTACCTATTCTCACCCCTCTGTTGCCTCCCCCTTTACCTCCTTTGATTCCCATACATGTTTTACTAGTTATCCTTCTATTTTTGCAATAAGGGGTATCTTTTGTGGTTACTTGATTGACTTCATTACAAGTCAACTTTAGCATTCCTTCTCTCTCTTTTTTTTTGTTACTGCATTATTTTTTTATTCCAAATTTTTTTATTCATTTTAATGAACATTTAAGAGATTTTGGATTTTCATTCATTCATTGTTGCACTTTTAAACTAACTATTCTCTAGAAATTATTCCAATAAGCTTTCAAGTGATTTATTTTCTCTGTATATTTTCTTTTACTTTGTTTTTCTTCTCATTGCTATTTAAGTGATTTTTAAAGCAAATTGGTTTTCCATGTAAGTGTTCATAAGACTTTTTTTTTGCTTATGGCATTGATGGCAACATTCATAATATAACTGTCTTAATACTTTTTTACTTCCTTCTTGTGATTCTCATTTTTTTAATCCTCTATCTCACCCCTTCCTGCCACCTAAGCTTTATCCCTTGGCAAAGACTGCCTTTGTTATCATATATGTTTGATTTTTCTAAGAAATTAGTTCCTCCCTCAGATTATTGCTCAGCTTTTAGGTGTGTCTGTAGTGGTGAGGAATTGTGCTGCCAATCCGAAGACATGAGATTCAAATCCACCAGCAGGATTCTCTCTGCAGGAGAAAAAAAATGCATAATCTGCTCCAAAACTATTTACAGCCTCTGAAAACCCTCTGGAGTGTCAGCTATGCATCAGTTCCAACTTCACAGCAGAGGGGGAGGGGGGGAGAGGAGGAAGAGGAAGGAAAAGAATGAGGAGGAGAAGGGGAAGAGGAGGAGGGGGAGGAGGAGGAGGAGAAAGAGGAGGAAGTGAAAGAGGAGGAGAAAGATCTGTTGATAAAATCTGTATGGAGTTGTGCTACTAACCCAAAGATATAGTGACTTTCTTGTGCTTCAAATCCACCAGCAGCTCTATAGGAGAAAGATGGGCCTCGCCTCTCATGCCATTTACAGCCTTCTTACAATTCGTTAGAGGGACAACTGTGAGTCAGTTCTGACTTGAGGCAATGAGAGCAATTGGCTGCAAGTTGAGCTAAAGGCCCATCCTTCTCCCACAGAGCTTCTGGAGATGTTAAACTGTGTGCCTTTGGGATTGCAGGGCAGCTTCTTGCCACTAGGCCACCAGAGAAATATATAGATATTATATATTACATGTATATTGACAGGATAGGAATATTAAACTTAAATGTAGAAATAACATGTTAAATACAATTATGGTCAAGGATTTAGTCTTTCTCACCTGTCTATATCTGTTCATTTTACTTACCTGCTCATATATCCATTATGGATTTGCAGTTTATTGTTTATTCTTAAATTTAAATTTTAATTTAAGTGTGACTGTGAAATGCCGTGTGTCTTGTTTTCATCATTAGTGGGCATGCAATAAACACAGACTAACAACAGTGGACCTGTTTAGCCGTAAAGCAAACACATACACTGACATGCAAAAGACACATCTCCTTCATTATTAAGAATGATCCTCTGACTGCTAAACTGAAGTTTTAGTGCAGTATATTACATAATCAGGATAATTGAAAACATACTGTGTTTTTGTTTTGTTTTGTTGCTTATTTTAGTCTTCTCCAGATAAAAGACTTAACCTATTAAAAACTGAGTGGATATACTGGGAGCTTATAAATGAACTCAAGATCAAAGCTAACTGGGAAGAAGAGGCAGCTTCCCAACTGCTAAACGCTCTCAAAGATAATGTACCCAAGGCCACGAGGGCCCTTTATGACTATGTCAACACATATCACCAGGAACACACTGGATTAGACCTGAGAGAAGTATCCTTACGACTAAGAAGAAGTTTACAACGTGGTGCTGAACGAGTCCATCAAGTAGTTATAAGGCAGATTGATGAGGTGGACATAGGGCTCCGGAAAGCACTCAGTAGTACCACTTGGGCCTACCAGCATTGGAAAGATGAGGCCCAACATCTGTATGAGGACCATTTCCAGGGACTCCTGGATAAGCTGTATGATAGCTCAGTGCAGGTTATACAGAAATACCACTTAATACTCAATTATCTAGTAGACTCTCTGGTCGAATTCCTGAAGGACACCAGATTCCAGCTCCCAGGGACAACCAGAACATATAATGCACATGAATTCTGTGCTATGGTCATAGGAGAAGTAGAGAAGATACCACTTCAGGTAAATGCAACCATTCAAAATGGATTAGAAATGCTGACTTCCTTTTTGCAAGACCTAGAGGAAAAACATGAATTTATCAAGAACCTAAAGATTAGATTTCCTTTCACTTCAACAAGGTATAAACTAAGTGATGTATTCCAGGAAATTGGAAGACAATTGAAGTCTCTATCACAAAAGATCAAAAGAATGTTTGATGACCTTAAGTTTTCCCTAAATACAAAGACACTGACTCATCTTCACTTCATATTTCAAATGGTTTTTGAAAAGATAAAATATGAAATAGATACCTTTAAAAATAAAACATTTGTTAATCTCGTGAATGATATCCAACATGAGGCCAATTCACTTTTAAGCAATCCTGTATCATATATTTCTGAAATTGTGAGTAAAAACCTACCTCTGGACCTTAATTACCTTAATGGCCTTGTTCAAAACCATCTTGAAGTAGCTTCTGATGAGTTACAGAATCTCTACCAATACATAAAGGCTCTTCGAAAAGAATATTTTGATCCCAGTGTAGTTGGCTGGACAGTGAAATATTATGAACTTGAAGAAAAGGTTATTAACCTGATCAAGAACCTAATAGCTATCCTCAAGGACTTGCATTCCAAATATACTAGCAGTGCCACTGACTTTGCTGCCAAACTATCAGATGGTAGTCAGCAACTTGTACCCAAAGATATCCAAGAATATCTTGCCATATTTACCGATCCAGATGGAAAAGGGAAGGAGAAGGTTGCAGAGATTTCTACCACTGCTCAGGATGTAATTAAAAGCTGGGCCACAGCAATGAAGAAAGTAATTTCTGATTATCACCAGCAATTCAGATACAAATTACAGGATCTTTCAGGCCAACTCTGTGATTACTATGAGAAATTCATTACTGAATGTGAAAGATTGATTGACCTGTTGATTGAAAATTACCACATGTTTCTGCAGTACAACACCAAGTTCCTGAAAAGCATGCAATCGAACATAGCCAAGGACATCACATTTTCCCCAGGAGAACTTATTATTACCTTATAATGTTTTCCAAGTAATTCCCATTTATTCTTCAGTCCCAATGAAATTTTTACATAGTTGGGGTAAATAATCCAAACTATGGTGATGCTACCATACTTTGAGCAAGGCCCCAAGAAATGAGGTGACCTGCTAGGAGTTACTTGAGCAACATGTGTCACAACTGGGCAGGGAGCCACTCCTGCAGCGGGCAGCTAAATTAAACTAAGCTCAAACAAGTCAAAGTCCACATAAACTGGACCTGCACTGAAGTCAGCATCAAAGCTCCAAAGATCTCTGAACACTGAGGAACTACATTTTTGTTGGTGGTTTGTGGTTTTTCTTTTTATTTTTTTTTCAAGTTAAGCAAAATAATCACCTATTATTATTATTATTTTGCTGGACATGGGGTGGGAGGGAATACAAATAAATGAATTCTGTATTCAGTACCAAGTGACTCACTGTGACTTATTCATATTGAAAGATAGAGATTATGAGGGCATTGACTCAAGTGTTTTAGCATTTCAAAAACACTAAAGAAATGTGCACTGTGCTAAGAGTAGAAAGGGAAAGGAGGAATACGTAGGGAGAAATATTTTGACCACCTAAAGGCATCAATAAGCGATTGGTTCCAGGGATGGTATTTACCAAGTGAGAAGGAAAAAGGTATTTAAAAGACTTTCAAGTACTTTGATCCCAAGGAGTGCCCACCTTGTGATGCTCACTATTTCTCAACTGCTAACCTGTCTTTGCCCCTCAAAGTTATGTCTTGAGTTCTGAGATAAGCCAACAAGCCTTTTATCCCACCAAGTGTGGCAAATGGATATCCAGATAGACTAGGCCTTAGGACTTCAGGCTAGTAGGAACCCCAGAAGTCTACCTTCAGCTCAGCCATGCTCTGTTCAAGGGAAAGCAAACAAGGATGTAGTAGAGGGATAAGGACATGAATTTCTAACTTAACTGAGACAAAGCCATTGTCATGCTCTTTAATTTCCTGGGGATTTGTTGTGTTGGTTGGTTGGTTGTTGTTATTGTTGCTTTCCACATCTAATATCTTACAATCCCAAGAGCAACTAAAGCCCAAGAGTTTCTCTTGCTTGATCTATTTCTCTAAAACCCTAATTTTAAACATTGACAACATCCAGCTTTAGAGCATTCAAGCTGAGCACTAGCGAGTAAACCTGCAAAGAACCTCTGCAACACAACTGTTATTAGTCCCATTGGAAAGGTGAAACATAAAAATAGCACATTCTCTTCAGTGGCATTGAAAAACAAGGGGAATGAGAAGTAGAATGTTTCCCCACCTCTCACCACCTGTCCTGCCTGATTTCTGTTTGGAAGACTCTTACTATCCAAAAATACCTTCTAACCTCCATCAATCTCTTGTAAAACCTTCACATTCCTTGGTAAGGTCCACTGTTGAAAACCTCGGCATTACTTGGTAAAGGGAATGCATTAGTCTGTTGGTGCTTTAACAGATTTCTTATGTCTAGAATTGAAAAACCAGAAACAGTCTAAGGGACATGAAACACAAGACAGACATGAAACACAAGACAGAAAATGGGTCTAGCTAGCATCAAAGGAAAATCTGTTGGAAAAATTAATAGAAGCAGGATTTGTGGAGGAATGGACAGGTGAATCAATAAGTAAATGAAAGATCAGTTTTGAGGGCAGCAGAAGAGTAAGAATTAGATCACAAGGCACCACAAGAATTGATCCTGGTAGAGTTCGGCATGCATTTTCTTGTGAGTTAGGAATGGCAAGAAGCTACTGAGTGTTCAAACTAGAAGAAAGCATGGAATTCTGGGTTAAATGGGGAGGGTAAATCCTGATAAATTTCTAATGCTCATGTGAAGATAGCTGTGTCTGGGGTCAAAAAGGAAAATTAGCCCCTAAATCAAGCTGATCATGTAATGAATTACCACAGTGTTTCCTTATTCAGCTGAAAAATAGTATTATCCATATTAGCTATCTGTAACTCCCTTGTAATTTATTCATCACGCTCTCAGTCAAATTATTAGAAGGAAGTATTAGAGCCTTTTGTCTTTAAGAGACTTAGAAGTTCTTTTTCTTCCTCTATAGGTCTCTTAATGTGCTTCTTCATACTTCTTTGGCTTCGAATTTTAGATAACATTTCTTGTTTGTTTATTGTTTGTTGTTTAGGAAAGTAATTTCCCTTATGTGAGTCTCCATTTCCTTGCCTGAAAAATTGGAATAATATATATCTTGCCTGCCTTGCAAGCCTGTTAAAGACTTAGGAGTTTAATAATCAGTAATAGTGCATAGAAACATCCTGTCATTATTATTAGATGGTTCTTCAAACAGGTTTATGGTGAGGAGGGGCAACCTATCCATTTCAATGAACATTTATTAAAACTTCTATATGCAAAGTACTATTCAAAGGCTCTGTGAGGGATCAGTAAGATGTAGTTATATACCTATCAAAAGGGAATGTGTTTTCTCATGACAGGTAAAGTGCTGTGAGGGTCTACAACAAGAGAAAGAATGTGAATTAGGACAGGCCTCATAGAGAAGTTTTAAATAGATCTTAATGATGAATGCTATTTTGACAAGCAAAGGAGAAAGGTCATTCTCGGAAGAGAGAAAACATGAACAAAGAAATATAGGCAGCACACTGGATCATCTAGTTTGACTATAGCATGTTGTTGTTGCTATGTGCCACCGAGTTGCCTGTGACTCATAGTGGCCCTTGGTACAACAGCCCTAAACCCTTCTCTATGCTGTTCCAATGTTACGGTCTCTGACACACCTACCTCCATAATAGTGGTCCTATGTACAACAGCCCTAAACCCTACTCTATCCTGTGCCAATGTTTGTCTCTGACACCCCTACCTCCATACCCCAGTCACTGAATCAATTTATCTCATCAAGGGTCTTTCTCTCCTGCACTGTATAACACAAACACACACACACACACACACACACACACACACACACGGAAGACACAATTTCAAAGATAAGGTTAGCAGTATCACAGAATATTGCAGACGGCTTGCTGGATAAGACCATGCAAGGTAAATTTTTGAGCTAGATAGTGATGTGAATTATGATTTAGGAAGACTGATAGGGCAATATGGGAAGATTAATTACAATAAGGTGCATCTTTCCCAAGACTATGTCAGGATACTTCTGTAAGATGGTGATGACCTCAGACAAGTCACAGATGGTGAGGATGTGTTGGATAAAAGAAGCATAATCAAGATAGAATTGATGAAGCCAAATGACTAATTCTTAATAACAGACAGGAGGAGGGCATAAACGCAATTAAAAAGGAAGCTGCCTTAGTAAGTGCTAAGGTTTGGAAAGTGCAGAGGAGGAAGAGTAAAGAATAAGCAGGCATCACAGTAAGAGAATTTTGAAATTAACTGAGAAACTTGAAGACCTATAGTGCAATATAACAAAATTAAGAACATATTGATGGGGATATTTTAAGTGTAAATCACAACTCATAGACAATGATAAAGGCAGCCTGGTAGTAAAAATCTGTGCTGTAATGCCAAAGGCACATAGTTCGACTCCACCAACTGCTCCATGGATGAAGGATGGCCATTCTCCTCCCATGTGATTTACTGCCTCTGAAATCCCACTGGAGAATCATCTGTGAGCTGGTTCTGACTCAAACAGCAAACAACACAGACGTCCAGAAAGGGTTATAGGATTACATGGTGAGTTTCAAGTCACAATGGCTTATCAAAGTGGAAATATCTAAAAAACCAAATGGAATTGTGGGCTAAAAAAACAATATCCAAGTGAGTAGGGACAAAGGAAACTCTTGGCCAGTTAGCATATTGGTTTTATTCCCTTATAAATACCTTTAGAAACTTAACAAGAACACAAAGAGTTTTCTTTCTTGTACTAGTCTTTGGCCTATTATCCTGAAAGTGAGCCAACATGTACATCTCCTAAGAACATACTGTGAGATGATGTGGAAAGTTCTGCTATAAACACAACTATTCCTCCAGTAAAACAAATATCCAAGATTAAAACCAAAGGAGAAATGAAATAATGGAGCCCAGTTCAGTTTGCCCTTGGAGCCTTTGAAGCATGATTAAGCTGTATACTTCGATTTGACAGCAAACATAGATTGGTGATGTTATCCCTCAGACTAAATGTAGAGTAAATTGGTCCTTTGTAAGTGAGGCATCACCAAGTTACTTTGAAGATTCTTTCATGTTCTGTTTTTCACCTGAAGGTTCTGCACTGAAGAGCCCAATTCTCCCTCAGATTATCTATCTATATCTATCTATCTATCTATCTATCTATCTATCTATCTATCTATCTATCTATCTATCTATCTATCTCCCCTTGCCTTTTTCTCCCTTCATCTCTCTCTGTAAGTTGAGCAAAGCCTCCTCTGACTTCCTATCCTAGGTGTCTCCCTTCTGACTTTAATTTACAACTTAGTCCCCATTCAGTCAGAGAATGGGCCAATCTGGCTCTCAAAAGGGGCCTGCAAGATGGGATCCAGGGTGGACAAACAGATGTTCCCTCTAAAAGTGTCTAATAACCAGAGATAAATGGGAAGAAACAGCCCCTTCCTCTTAGCTCATCTCTTTGTCTTGCTGTTTCACATTAAGAGGTCAGCACAACTCCCTTCAGAACTCTCCATTTGCTGGTGGTATGGTTAGAGTGGTCAACAAATAACATTCCAGGTCCTCATAAAAGTCAGTGGAATAGGTGCATATGTTTCGACGAGGTGAGGATTCTGTCCTGCACAAAACCATTCATTCCTCCCTCAGGTTTGAGAAGTGCATTAAGTCAGTAATGTTTTGGGCCCTGGACATTACATTCTGGCCCTTGTGGTAATTTTACTTCCTGGACTGGCATCACCAACGCCCATGTTTGGAATAAAAGAAATGACATAAATCTTGGAGCCGACCTGGTACATGATCTGCAGACCTGCACTCCATCCTTGTCTGAAAGCTAAAGCGAAGAGTCTCAGCTGAGTGAGCATCAAGACAGGCTGAACAGAACGATCCAAAATTTAGACTCCATATCAGATGAGA